TATTGAATAGGTTAATGCTGTTGTAATGAAATGCTTCTTCTAATTAAAAAAAAAGGAGGTGAAGGGAATTCAGAGCGTCTCCTCACTACATAATATGAACTCTTACAACTGCACATCATTGTCACAAAGGACAAACACTATTAAGAACTATTTAATCAAAAGGCCAGAAAATCACCCTCTCATAGATATGCCTTCTTCTGTTCCTAGTCATTGTCTGCTGTTCTCATTGCTTCCTGAAGTTGTCACCTTGCCTTCTATCTGGAAAATTCCTCTGGCAATCTGTTTCCTTCATTACAATGACAGAGAAGCTCCCTCAATCTATTTTATTACTGGCAATTGAGGGTCAAGGACACAATTTGCTTCTGAGATCCTCAGGGTACTGACACTGACTACAGATGGTCTTAGGGGCAGGTTCTCATCATTCTGGTGAGGGAAATTCCTCTGGCATGAAGACAAGTCCTGAAGCTATAGAATGGTCTTCCCTATGGTGACTTATTTTAGAGACCTGCACACAAATTGCTCCAAGAGCAAGTTGGGTTACAGAGGCACGTATTGATGGGCTTTCCAAGGCATATCTGACATCTTGCAAGACATAAGCCTTGGAAACTGTCAGACTCTCAGTCCCTAGCAAGGTGCTGTTCTGGAGCTAAGAGTGCATCTACATAGAGATAGAGCCCCATAGAGGTGAGAGAACCAGTGGGGAGGGCAGACACAGTGAGTGAGGTCAGGATGCTGAAGGGAGAAAGAGGATTCCAGCTCATTTCAGACTGAATCTCAGCCTGTGCTAACACTGAGGGTTAGTTCATACTGATTGTTTCCATAAAGAGCTCTGTCCCACAGAGAAATAGTAACATAATAGTTAAAAGAATCAAGAAAACAATATTTGGAGTCAGACCAGGCAGAAAGTGTGGAGCAAACTATGGTGTGAGCACAATAAGGAGAGTGTACTACTAAAGAGACATACCTCACAACACAGCTTTGCTATGGCTCAAGATAGGTCTACTATCAGTCTATGGAAACTATCTTGATGTCACAGTTGACACTTCATTCAGTGGGAGACATGAGGTAGACACTGCACTTCACGTGGATAAATTTTCCTAGTAACTCTTGATAAACCTTGTCATGAAGACTCTATCTGGCAAACAGTTATCATGCATACCTAAACATGTAACACAGCAAAGTAATAGGTACCTTGTGGTGTGTGCCATCTTCCACATGTGGCTGTTTGTCTCCAGCCTGCAGCTGGGCTCCAGGAGCTTCCTGTAAGGCCTCACACACAAAAAGCCTGGGCTCACTCTGATCCCAGAAATGGTTTACAGGAATGTAATTTGCCAATTTCTCATGCATAAAGCTGTGGCTCCTAAAACAGAAGGAATTTGTCTCCAACTCTGAGAAGAACATTTCTATTATCATTAACCATATCCACTCAAGGTCTTATCAGTCACTGTCACCAGGTGACACTATCTGCAGGTACATGGTTTCTGGAGCACCACTGTGCCTCCCAGTGCCACACGTCCTGTCAGAGCACACCCTTTCAGACTCTGAAAACTGGGTAAAAGGGAAGGATCCCAGTGAAGTCTGGTTTGGGGGACATGGAACATGATGCTCAGATGGAGCAGTGGACTCAGATGTCTCCTGAGAGGTGACCTCAAGCAACCCTGTACATGGCATTTTCTAATTTTACCATAGTCTCTAATCTATATAATATCATATTTCATGGGCCCAGAATTTGATTAAGCACTATAGAAGATCAATGAACTAAATGACAAAAAATGTATATATTAAAAGAAGATGGGTGTGGTGGTACACACTTTTAGTCTCAGCTATTTGGGAGGTGAAGGCAGGATAATCACTTGAGTCCAGGAGTTCAAGGATAGCCTGGGTAACATTGTAGGAAAATACCTCAAACACAAACATACAAAAACAACTCAACACCATTAGGTGAGGGAGATAGTAGTCCTTACTTGCCACCCCTCGAGGAGTGGGGTAAACCAAGGATGGAGTGTGGGACTGCTGGGCTCATTGGCTCTTGGTAGCTATGTAGGACCCAGTTCTACAGGAAACAATACCCCTCACGGATGCCACCAGAACCAGCACTGGCAGTATTCCTACAGGCCATGGCCTGATTGTGCAGGAATGATGCAATAAGCAGAGACTTTTGGACAGAGCATATATCAAGGGCCCATAGAATGCCAGACTCAAGTTGTCTCCTCTGAAGAGAGACTGGCCTGGCAAGAGATGCAGAATGTGAAAAAGGAATGATGCCTATTCCAGAAAGCGGAATCATGAAAGCCAGGCAGAGTTCAGTGAAAAACATTCATTAAAAGACAAAAATTAGGGGCTGGAGAGATGGCTCAGCAGTTAAGAACACTAGTTGTTCTTGCAGAAGACCCGGGTTCGATTCCCAGCACCCACATGGTAGCTAACAACTGTCCATAACTCCAGTCCCAGGAGATCTGACAGCTTCTTCTGACCTCCGCAGGCATTGCACAACATGGGTGCACTTACCTACATGCAGGCAATACATGCATACACATAAAATAAAAATAATAAATAAAATTAAAAAAAGACAAAAATAAATGGGATTTGGTAGTAGGGAGTAAAGGAAAGTTAATTCCATAGATTTAGACCTGGTAACAGAAAACTCTGGGAAATGGGCTGCAATTTCAGTGAGAAGTTCAAAGATTTATGTTCTAAGCAAATCTGGGGTACAATTAGGTATAAAAAGATGAGGGTATTGAAATAGGATATCAACAGAGGTGAAAGGTAGAGTCCAACAGATTAAAGAGAGCTCCTAAGAAGGATCTGATGAGGCAGGCAGGATTCAGGGAGAGAGACAGAAGGATTCAGGGCAGACTGCAAAAGTGGATTTGCATCAAGAAGGGACCTGATAGAACAATCATCAGCTAACAATCACTGTAACTCCAGTTCCAGGGGAATCCAACACCCTCTTCTGACCTCCTTGGGCACTGCACAACATGGGTATACTTACATGCATACAGGCAATACACTCATACACATAAAATAAAAATAATAAAGCTGGGTGTGGTGACACAAGCCTTTAATCCCAGCACTTGGGAGGCAGAGGCAGGAGGATCTTTGTGAGTTCAAGGCCAGCCAGGTCTACATAGTGAGTTCCAGGTGTAGGAAAGGATTTTCTTAATCGGACAGAATTTGCTCAGAAATTAAGGTCAGCAATCAACAAGTGGGACCTCATTAAACAAAAAAGCTTCTGTTCAACAGAGGGAACAACAAATCTAGTGAAGAGGAAGTCCACAAGAGTGGGAGAAAATCTTCACCAGCTACATATATAACAGAGGATTAATATTCAGAATATACAAAGAACTTAACAAACCAAAAATAAATAAATGAATAAATAAATAAATAAATGAAAAACAGCTTAGCAACAAACTTCTAGGAAATTGAACAGTAGACAAATATTGCATTCAACAATTTTAACTACATTCTTACTCATTAGTCTTTTGCTCGCTAAAGGGCAGTGACTCCATCTGACCAATCTGTCCAGTCTTGAAGTCAAAGATGGTCATTGTGTCCATCTCAACATCATAAATGTAGATTTTGGAATCAGGAATGTTGTCAGCCTAGGAAAGAGAAGACAGAGTGGCTCAGGGAGTGGCCTGGGCCATCACTGCAGGGACTGTGTTCTGGGACTGACACAGCATGTGCTTGAGGAAAACATGTCTATTGTCAGCTACCTCTGCTTCTAGGGGAAGGTGCACTGTTAGACCCGTAACTTGAACATCAACTTCCCTATGCCCACTGAAAGTTTTCAAATTACTCGTCTATATATTATAATTTTAGAGGACAAAATCTAAAATTGCTGAGCTGTTCCTAGTTTTGACTGGAGATGTTTTCTTAGCTGAGATAAGACTAACCAAGGCAATCAGAAGGAATCTGGATTCTGATGACGCATACTCATACAGCTGAATGGAAATGACATAAACTTCATAAAGATGGAGGATGGCAATCATTCCCGTTTGGCAGCTGACACCTGAAGTAATGAGTAGTGTTCATAGTACAGGCTAGGAGCAAGAGCATCATGAAGTTTGGTTGCTCCTGCTGTGCTGCCCACTGCTCATACGTACCATGGAACTTCCAAGGTGGTGGTTCCATTCCAAGTTCACAGCAGCACCATTCACAAGAGTGAGAAGGAAGTCACAAAAGACATGGACAAATCAATGGAGACAAAAAAAACCCCATGTGGTCTATGCAAACAACGCAGGCATAGAAGGAATGAAGCACTGATAACATGCTACAATATGGATGAGCCTCCAAATGCTAAACTGGGTAAAAGAAGCCTGTATCAAAAGGCCACATACTGTATGATTCCATTTGTATGAAATATTTAAAAAGGCAAATTCAGAGACTATAAACAGACTTATAGGTGATAGGAACTGAGATGGGAAATGGGAATGATGGTTAATGGATATGACATTTTTCTTTGGAATGAGATGTTTCAGAACTAGAGGAGATGACTGCACTATACTCTGAATATATCAAGTGCCACTGAATTGTTCACTTTAAATAGTTAATTTTATGTTATGTGACTCTTACCTCAAGTTTTTAGAGATCCTATTTTATTTTTTTTATTATTTTTTTTAAATTTTCTATCTTTTTGAGACAGGGTCTCCCTGTAGCCCCAGCTGGCCTGGAACTCACTATGTAGACCAGGCTGACCTGGAACTCACAAAGATCTGCCTGCCTCTGCCTCCCAAGTGCTGGGATTAAAGGCGTGCACCACCACGCCCGGCCTTAAAGATCCTATTTTAAGATTAAGAAATGTCAGCACCTAGAAGGGCACCTTGGGGTCTGTAATTGCTGAAGTAATGGTTCTCAAAAAATTTTTTTGATTTATTTGTATTTCATTCTATTTTATTTATTAATTATTTATTTGCCTGCATGTATGTAAGTGTACCCATGTTGTGAAATGCCTGCAGAGACCAGAAAAGAGTGTCAGATCCCCTGGAACTGGAGTTACAGAGGATTGTTAGCCTCCACATATGTGCTGAGAACTGAACCCAGGTCCTCCTGCAAGAGCAGCCAGTGCTCTTAACTGCCAAGCCATCTCCCCTGAAGCAATGTTTTGTGGTGGAATGAGGTGGGAACACACTGACCCATGCCCCAGCTAGCAGCATGAGCAGTTAAGAGTGGGCCCACCTGAGGGTCCTTCATATGACTGTCTCTGAAAACTGAACCTGGACCTGCTTTTCACATCAGAGGTGCTCAGTAAGTGGCTATGGAAGCAACAGAAAACAGGTAGATACTCAGTTCTACCTTGGATTCAGACCTGGCTGCCCTGGGTGGTCTAGACTCAGGAGCAACAGAGTCGTCCTGGATTCTGGCAACCCCCATTTCATGACAACATATAAGGATGTCTGAGGGCTGAGGATGCCCTCTTTTCACAGTTCCAAATGTTCCCTGCCCAGATTCAGTGGTCTTTCTCCTACCAGGTCTCATATAGCTGCCTGCCTCACACTGCTGCCACTTTATGCCCTTATTTTCTTTTGTATTTTACACCACGGTGGGGTGCTCCCATTCTTTCTAACCTTGCTCTAGCCAAGCTGTCACCAAGGTCAGGATGAGCTGCAGCACACACTGGGCTGATACTGAATCTTTCATTATAAAATTGGGGCAGCAGGACATGCAAAATACAACTGATGATGTTCCTACTGTAACCTTATTGTTTCTCAATTCTTTCTTTTGGATACTTGCAGAGGAAAGCACCATGCACATGTATACATGAAAGAAGCTGAGGAAAGGGAAGAGCTGGGCTCAACTCCACACTTTTCTCCACTGTACTCAGGATCAGTAGCCTGGTTAATTCAGCATTATTCTCGGACAGAGCTCCCACTAGTGGGCACAATTTGGAAGGCAACCCTGGGCTTCTCATGCCCACAAGCAGTGCTGGGGGGACACACATCCAGAACTTAAGGGCACTCATAGAAATCTTCATTCTAGCAGGCACTAGAATGGTAAATGGGATGTGACTCCCTGAAAAAGGCAAGAAAATGAAACTCTGTCACAAGTTTAAACAATAGAGCACACTATAGGCTTAACTGCTGAGGAAGAAATTATCACCCCTTCTTGTACCAAAGAGTTTACCTGGATGATGAAGAAAACAATCAGAAGTAAAGGGCAAAGGACTCTGAGGAAGACACAACTATTTCTGATGAAAATAAGGAAAGGCAAGAAAAGACAGAAGGTGTGTGCAAGTGAGGGTGTAAGAACAGGGCATGTGCCAAGATAGAAGCAGGCAAGAGAGGGCTGAGGGAAGGTGGGAAGGTGAGGAGGGAGATGAAGCAAGGAGGGACCAGCCAGAGGCTAGATATAAAGACCCAATAGACCCATCAAGGAGAGCATAGACAGAACAGGTGGCCATGAGCCTGGCAGGGGTCACAGACACAGACAGCTCCTCCAGGAGGTCCTTGCTACCAGTTAGATCAGTAAGAAGGCCATGAGGGACAGCAGGCTTACCATGCTGAGGAGGATGCTGATCTTGTTCCCGTTGGCACTGCATCTAAGAGAAGCAATGCTCCCAATCTCAGGGACCAGCTGAGCCAGGTTCTTACAGCTGCAATGCACCTTTGCTTCTCTGTTTGAGGAGAGACAAGATGACCTTAGCATGAGGCAGAAGTTCCCTTTTAGCACCCTTTTGCTGCCTACTGGCCCTATGCAGGTCACAGAAAGGACCTGTTTGACTGCTGAGACCTCAGCTCACACGTTCTGCTCAGCTCATTGCTTTCCACATTGTGCATGTGAACCCCAGTACAGGAAAAATAAGGGCTAACTTTTTAGACTCAATAAAAGGCCTCTTCTAAACTACAGAAGAAAATGAGGTGTCATGTGAGATAAGAACCTAAGATTTCTGACACTGTTCCCATTTTCTGCTTACCACACTGTCTCCTAATTTAAAAAAAAAAAAATCTAATACTTAGCTGGGCATTGTGGTGCATGCCTTTAATCCCAGTTCTCAGGAGGCAGAGACAGGTTTGAGTTCCAGGCCAGCTGGGGCTACAAGAAGACTGCCCCCCAATATATATATATATAAATTAAAATACTTCTGTTTGGATGAAAACTGTACCTTCTAGAAAGATCAAAGCTTTTAAAATGAGCTAAGTCTGTCCCTGCAACCAGGAAAGTCCCACAGACGTCCAGGAAGCAGGGGCTCCCCTCAGTCTCAGCGAACGGTAGGAGCTGTTTGACAGTCCCCTGGGGAAAGAAGATTAAGTTTAGGACTGAACTTCCATGACCATTCCACTTCCACTTCTGAATTTTATTCACCTTGTATATTCCACTCACTCATCCAATACATGGTGTTTCTTGATGGGCTAGTGTATACCCACACTGCACTAACTTAGTGCCCCAGAAAGATAGGGCACTGTCCTCCAGACAGTCTTGGTTCCACGAGCCTAGAAGCAAGTCAGGTCAAGGAGTAATGATAAACAGGATGCTGGCTAGGCATGACAGTGCAAGCCTTTAATCTCAGCACTCAGGAGGCAGAGGCAGGCAGATCTCTGTGAGTTCAAGGCCAGCCTGGTCTACATACTGAGTTCTAGGCCAGTTGGATTTACAAAAGACCAAAACAAAACAAACAAAACAAAACAAAACACAGGATGTTCAGCTGAGAGGTACTTTATGGGCATGCACAGGATGCAGGAAAGTAGCAGGAATAGACTATGACCTGGCATTGTGTTAAAGTCCCAGTGATAACTTTATACTGCCAGTGTCAGGTGCATGGTCATCTGGGTAGGGAGGTAGGGAGAGGATGCTCTAGCAGGGTGCTTCTCACATTCTGGGCATATACCACTTGTGAAAGGCAATTCACAATAAGCTCCACACTTACTCATAACATATCCATGCTTTCTGTATCTTATACTTCCAATAAAATGTTTAAGAAATAAAAGTCTAGCTGGGTGTGGGGGCACACGCCTGTAATCCCAGCACTCAGGAGGCAGAGGCAGGTAGATCTCTGTGAGTTCGAGGCCAGTCTGGCCAGCTGGGACTACAGGGAAACCCTGTCTCAAAAAGACAAAAAAAAAAAAGTCTGTCCTACGGGCAACATTCAAAATGAGGAACAGGTCAGCTACCTGAAGAGGCCAAAAGAGGGGGCAACACATACTGAGCAAGTGTCTCTGTGTCTAGGATTCTTAAAGCTGATGTGTCAGCAGGAATGAGCAATGGAGACTGGAATGCTCTGAGGGTAGGCAAGTGAGGAGAGATCACTTGGCTTTATTACTGTTAGAAGGAGGCAAGGACTCTCAAGTTCAAGTTCACCTAGACCTGTTCTATTTCTATAGTTTCCACTTCTCAGGCACTATAACAAACCCAGTCTGCAGTTAGGAGAACCCCATTTCTTTTCCTTCTGTAGTCCCCTTCATTCAAAAACCACTGCCTGAGACAATTCTTAGAGTCTCTCATGGGTGCATCTCCCAGGTCTCCATCACCTTCACCAACTAGCTAGTTTTCCCATCATACTGGCATATAAGTTATAGTCTAAGAAAAACCAACACAAAACCAAAAAGAGATCAAGTGTGGTGATGTACGCCTTTAATCACAGCACTCAAGAGGCAGAGGCAGAGGCAGACAGATCTCCGTAAGTTTAAGGCCAGCTTGATCTACTTTCAAGTTCCAGACCTATCAGGGCTATGTAGTAAGATTCTTTTTTATTTTTATTTTATGTTTACGAGCGTATTGCCTGCATGTATGTGAGTGCACCTGTGTTGTGCAATACCATGGAGATCAGAAGAGGGCTCCGGATTCCCCTGGAACTGGAGTTAAGGACGGTTAGTAGCCACCATGTGGGTGCTGAGAATCGAACCTGGGTCCTCTGCAAGAGCAGTCAGTGCTCTTAACCGCTGAGTCAACTCTGGGGGAGACACCATGATCAAGATCCTGTCTTTTTTAAAAAAAAAGGGGCAAACCAAAATATATCCTATTCCTATTAATAATCAACCCTTCATTGTCTTCAGGGTCCTTTGCAACTGGCCTACCAGCCTTCTGTCTCACTTACTTTCCATCCAGAGTTTTGGCTTCAGTCCTGACCATGTATAACCCACACTTCAGCCCTCTCTGGAGTAATGATGCAGAGGTCCAGAAAGGCACAGTGTCTGAAGTCACCTTATCACTGACCTAGACATTAGCATACATCTGCCTCCTGAAGAGGAAGGATCTGGAAGAACATGTCAGGTGTTCAATGGGGATGTGAGAGATCACTAGCATTTCCTCACTGGCCACAAGTAATACACATGCCTTCTGTAACTTTTAAAATGACAAACAGTGGGAGTGTGGCTGAATATACAGAATGTGCATGAGGCCCTGGGTTCTAGTCAAGCACCCAAGGGGTTGGGGAGGACTCGATTCCATGCCAGTTGTTGGTCCTACAGACAGGACCTTAATTGTTTCCTAGTAGGCCATTTCAACTTTCCCAGCATGCAGTTCAACTTTGCTGCACAGCAGTACCTCTACAGGTCCTTTTCTGCTATGACACAGCAGCCCCTTCATCTGTCCTGTGCCAGTCCCTCTCCCTCATCTCTATGTCCACAACAGTCACCTCATTCATGTCTTCCAAAGTCAGACCACAAACATTCAAGGACGGGGGTATCATACCACAGGCAAGGAGACACTTTGTTCTGTATGTAGGCTGCCCAGCAGGCCCTGGCCTTCTGCCTTTCAGCCTCTCTGCTCCCTTAAACCTACAGACTGTGGGAAAAAATGGTATCACTAGCTACCTATCAGTGCCTGTCTGTTATTTCCAGGGGTAGTGTTCAGGGAGCCACATGGTTCTTCCTCCTCATCTTCCCTCCACAATTCACTCTCCTACAAAGAGTTCTTCCTGTCCCTTCTCACTTTGGTAATCAGTCTTGTTTACTGATGGGACTGTCACCTAGAAGTGAACTTCAAGAAAGGGGCCTAGATTAGCAGTATGTGAGGTGCAAGGTCATGGATGTGGCAGCCCCAGTGAAGCACAATGGGTTCCAACAAAGAGCTCAGAGTTCAATACAAAAATCATATCATACCAGGGCTGGGGAAATGGCTCAGTTGGTAAAGTGCTTGCCTTATAAGCATGAGTATCTGAGTTTGGATTCTCAGAACCTATGTAAAGCCAGACACAATGGCATGCCCCTAAATTCCAGCAATGGTAAGATGGGAGGCAAAAACAGGCAGATCTCTGCAAGCTTGTGGGACAGCTAGCCTGGCCTATGTGGTGGAGCTCCAGAGTTCCAGGGTAGTGAGAGACCTTGCCTCATACAAAAAGTTGAAGGGGCTTAAGGACCTACACCCGAGGTCATCCTCAGACCTCCCCATATGTACCACACACATACATAATACCCCCTCAAGACACACAGTCACTCAACTGACTGCTAAAACCAGAGACATGCTCTCAATCTTGTCATAGAACATAACTGTACATAGTGGGTTGAACAGCTGCCTACCGAAAGATACTGTTTCTCAAACCTTATTGCAAAAGGGTTTTTTGCAGATGTGACTAAATAAGGATTAACTTATTTTTGTGGTGCTGGGGATGTAACTCAGGGCTTTGTCCATGCTAGACAAACACTCTACTGATCCACATTCCTGGTCCCAAGACTTTTAAATGAGATCACTTTGACTTAGAGTGGGTCCTAAACCCACTGACAAGTGTTTTGTTTACCATGTTGTGAATGGAACTCAGGGCCCTGTCCATGCAAAGCACATGATCTGACACTAAACTGCACCCCGGTGAAAGTGTTTCTATCAGACATAGAAGAGAAGACACAGATACTGAGAGAGGCCATGTGAAGAACAGGACAGAGTACAGGAAAGTCTCTGAGCCAAAGATATGGACACCAAGGATTGACAGCACCACTGGCTCCTGGAAACCTGGAGAAGCTGGAACAGATTTCCCAGCAAAGTTTCCTGAAGGAACCTACTCTGACCAACCTAGAAACAGAATTTCATTTCCAGAACTGTGAGAGAACAAATTTGTTGTCTTCAGCTACTCGGTTTGTGGCAATTTGATGCAGCAGCAACTGGAAGCTGTGTCAGCACCAAGTTCTAGTGGGACAGAGTGGGATGCAAAGGGGAAGGATGTCTGACTCAGATGCTATATCCTCAGATGTCTGTCACCTCAGAGGCCAGCACTGCTCACATCTTGGTTTCACCCTCACTCACATGTAGGGAATGGCTCATCCAGAAACTTTATGATCTAAATGACAGCTATGTCACCTACAGGATGTGTGTTAAATCCAGCAAACATTTCTTCCCATTTGATAGCCCTTATAGTCAAGGTACAATAAAATGGTCTTTTCCCCTGCAAAAGGCCCTGGGCCTGCCTCTCTGTTTCAGAGGTCACAATAGCCATGGATAGGGAGGCTAATCCAAAATCCATTTTCCAGTGAGCCACCTGATGGGGAAAATCTGATTTAGCTAGATGAAGCCAATAAAAGGCCTTGGGTTAATCTAGAGATAGCATTTTCAGTTCTGCTATAGCTTTCTTTATCATCACAGTATACTCACTGTACAACAGCTCCTTACCTGCCAGGTCCGAACTTGAATTCGGTTTGGCTCCACTGTATAAACGCTTTCCTCATGCATTGCTAACACTGGGGTCTCACACAAGAAGGTTCCTGAAATGAAAAATGAGCATCAAAACACCAGCAGTGGAGTTAAAGTACCTTGTGTGGGATCCCCAGTCAGCTTGGCCTTCATGCTAGCTCTGTGAGGGCAGTTTACTTCAGTCTTGCAGATGAGCAGAACAAAGTTCCAGAACAAAAAAAGAAAAACTTAAAAATATAATACTAACAGGGGCTAGAGAGAGGGCTCAGAGGTTAAGAGCACTGACTGCTCTTGCAGAGCACCCAGGTTCGATTCCCAGCACCCACATGGTGGCTATGAACTGTCCTTAATTCCAATTCCAGGGGAAATTGAAGCCCTCTTCTGACCTCTGCGGCATTGCACGACACACGTGCACTCACATACATGTAGGCAATACACTCATACACATAAAATGAAAATAATATTTAAAAAAAATATATATATATATAATACAAACAAGAAAATGTAGTAAAAAAAAAAGGTAAGAGGGAAAAAAGGAAAGTCTACTCTGAGTACAGGGAAATATGTTGGCCCGTTGGGGCCTGGGTCTTCTCTGAAGATTCTGCACTCCTTCACACCCTCCCTGCTCAGTAGTCACACCTCTTGGTAGTAGGTGATCCCAGCAGCACAGCACCTATGACAATACAACCAACTGGGAAGTGCCTGCCCATGTCATGAAGAACTTTGGAAACTCAATGCCCTAGTCAAAGGTGCTGAAGAAATTAGTCAAGGAGGGACAATGCACATGGAACAGAAGACATCTCAGTATTTACCTTACTGGTCATTATTGGGACAAGGAGCTCATCTCTGCTTCTTGGGACTCACATTAAAGAGGGGAGGTGGCATATAAATTTATGTATAGTACAAGCAGTGTGACAAATATTATCAGAGAACTTCAGACAACAAAGTGTTAAGGGAGAAAAAAAAAAAAAAGAGTGGGAAAGATGTGAGAGAGTGAAGTAGTAACCAGTGGCAACATCCCAGAGAGGTAAAACAATCAAGGAGGTGATCACCCTTGGAAAAGCACAACAGTCAGTCTCCTAGGAGGTAAAAAGAGCCCAGAGGTATAGGTGGGTAAGGGCAAGAATGGTATAGCATGTGAGTGGGAAGGGGTCACATCCCAATGGCTAGGTATTGTGGGAGCTGTAAGACCTGAAGATCCTTGCTCCTAACCCTAAGTCCCGTGAATACTGCCACATTTGACAATGGATGATAGAGGCTCACTGAAGAGTTTATTCTGGCCTGTCCAGGCAGGACCTAAACACAATCAACAGCAACGCTGGTGGGGGAGGGGATTGAAAATAGTGTTAATGTGACCAGAGAGACAAAGACTGGAGCACTGTGACCAGAAACTAAGGTCTAAAGTACCCAGCAGAAGCTAGAAGAAGCAAAGTAAATCCCCTTGAGGACTTAAGGAAATTGGCTTTGTTTGCTGGATTCTCTACTTCTGGCCTTTGAAACTACAAGAGAAGAAATTTCTGTTGTTTTAAGCACCAAGCATGAAGTCATTTGTTATAGTAGCACCAGGAAACTCATATAGGTGTGTGGAGGACGAAGGTAGCCAGATTAAACAGAGGAAGCTGGAAAGATTGGTGAGATGTAGAGACTGGATCTAAGATTGATGGATCATCTGTGAAGATCCAAATGAGATATTCAGAGGCTGGTCCTGGGCATCTGTGGCTCATAGCAATGCCTGGCTTAGAATCTCTTCAGAGGATGGGTATGTAAGTGGCCCCTTAGAAGGAACCCAGTTGTTTGTTTATGCAGCCTTGTTTCTGAGTTGTTTAGGAGTTCCCGATGCCAGGAGGGTTTACTGACCCAGAGTCTCACTGTACTTCTCAATTACCCTGACCACTTCACAGGATGCATCCCAAGAAGCCCTGGCAATAGGGACAGAAGTTGCATCATTGGCTCTGGAAATTCAGGCACAGTAATGAGAGCTGACTCAAGGGTCTCACCAGCCGTGTGCCAGCCTCTTCATGTCCTATTAGGAGATGAGGCAATAACTGAGCTGTGGAGGTCAGCTGGAGGTGTGAAGACTCTAACCTGCATTCCGTAAGGTGGATTCTGAAGGCTCAAAGATTGCTACCTGTTTTCCATTCCAGACAGCCACAGCACCCTAAAAGAAACATGGATGTCCAAAAGCAAAGGTCAGGAGGAGTGTAACACACATTTTTCAAAACCTGCCTTCTTCCTTCATTACTGAGTGTTGCCATGCTGTCAACCTAATATAGGCTCACTGAGCCCTTTGTGGATGCAGGTTAGGGCTGGTTTTCATGCTGTATAAAATGATTGTGTGTTTTTAGTATTTATTTTATGAATAGGACATGCACGGACATTCAGGATGATATTCTAGGGTGGAAAAGCTCGAGCTGCCACCCTGGCCCCTTACTGTCCTGATTTACCTTAACGACTGAGCAGCTCATTCATCTATGTAGAAAATTCTTGTGTGACTCCCATAGACCACCCTCAGTAGTTACCTTGGTGGTGAACACGCCACTGATGTGCATGTCAGTACACAGGCTGTGTGTGCCTCCTGTGGACAGGAAGGACACATTAACTAAGCTTGGTGAGATCTGCACAGCAGCCACTTGCTGGTGGAAGTGTGATGACATGGCTTGCTCACTGAGGATGGACACAGAGTTGATGCTGCTCACTGCCAAAAGGTTCTTCCTGGATCCCCACTTCAGTCCCATGTGGGAACCAAATGCATAAATAAAGGAGGAAAGACATAGTCAGGGAATATATGTGTTCCCTATGACAGTCCATAAGGCACTGTTCATATTGAGACAAGGTCTCACTATGTATCCCTGGTTGGCCTGGAACTCACTATACAGACTAGGCTGGCTTCAAACCCACAGAGATCTGCCTGCCTCTGCTGCCCAAGTGCTGAGATTAAAGGTGTACAACTACTATGCCCAGCCATAAGCTACTTCTTATTATTTAAAAATAGTTTAAAATATATAACTTTAAAAATAACTTTTAGGCCGGGCGTGGTAGCACACAACTTTAATCCCAGCACTCGGGAGACAGAGGCAGGTGGGTCTCTGTGAGTTCAAGGCCAGCCTGGTCTACATAGTGAGTTCCAGGCTAGCTGGGGCTGTAGGAAGACCCTGTCTCAAAAAGACAAAAAATGTTTTTTTTTTTAATAGAGGTAAATAAGTACTTTGCACAAAAAACTTAACATACTGTTAGATCTGAGTTACCTGTGTGGCAATTCTAGGCAGTGTCTGCTCTGACTTGCAGGGCCATCTGCTAGAAATCTGCCATTCTGAATATGATAAATTCATATTATTTTCTATAAATTTATACCATTAAATTATTCACTTTTCTTCTGCTGGTGAGACGTGTGGGTTTCTGAGCTTTAAGTCCATCTGACATGCATGGTTTTCAACAAATAATTAAGAGACATGTAAAAGGAGTGTCAGGCCTGGTGGCCTTATGTCTTTAATCCCTAGTACTCAGGAGGGAGAGACGGGCAGATTTCTGTGAGTTTAAGGCCAGTCTGGTCTACATAGTGAGTTCCACGCCAGCTGAGGCTACAGGGAGACTCTGCCTAAAAAAAAAAAAAAAGAGAGAGACACATAAAAGGGCAGAGTGTGGAGGCACAGAGGAGTTGTGATAGAGTCCAGATGATGTTGATGTTGGACTCAGTAAAGATTTCAAAGAAGCTGCTATAAATAAGTTCATTACTTTAAGTCATGCTCAGTGGAGTACTGGAAGATATGACGACTGCATTTCATCTGCCAGAGAATACTAGCAAAATAACATATGTAAAAATGGATTAAATTTTCCCAGGAAATGAAGCCTACATCTACACAAAAACTTGTGCACACATTTTTAGAGCAATATCATTCATAACAGTTCCAAAACATAAATAACACAAATACCCAACAGTTGCTGAACAGATAAACTATGGTTTACCCACATAAGATATTACTTAGCCATAAAAATGGAACATTGACACCTATTTGCAATGTGGAGGAACTAGAACACATGATACTCAGTGAGAGAAGCCACAAAGACTGCATATTATATGACTTTGTTTTTAAAACTTTTTTAAAAATTTTATTTTATGTATATGCATGTATTGCCTGCATGTGGGTAAGTGCACCAGTGTCGTGCAGTGCCCACAGAGGTCAGAAGAGGGTGTTGGATCCCCTGGGACTGAAGTTACGGACAGTTGTTAGCTGCCATGTGGGTGCTGGGATTCAAACCCAGGTCTTCTGCAAGAACAACCAGTGTTCTTAACTGCTGAGCCATTTCTCCAGCCCCTATATGATTCTATTTTTATGAAATGTTTAGAGCAGGCAAATCCAGTCACAAAGAATATTACTGGCTACATAGAGCTGACAGGAGTGGAGATCAGGTATGGATTTCTTTTTGTAGTGATCAAAATGTTTTAAGATTTGTTGTGAAGGGGGCTGGATGCTTGTACCCTCCTGAGATGGTGTGGGTAGTGTGCATGCACCACAGAAATTATATGAATGCATGTGTGTGCAAATGTTTACAGACACCTGTCTAAAGACACATGTCAAGCAAGGACAGAGGGTTAGAAGGTAAGCCAGAGTAATACAGAGTAACACTGCTAATGCTCACCACCAGTGGAACACTAGGGAAACAGTACTGAGTAAAGTAAAAAATAGATAAATAAGTAAATAAATAAAAAGATTTGCTGGGGGCTGGAGAGATGGCTCAGCAGTTAAGAGCACTGACTGCTCTTGCAGAGGACCAGGGTTCGATTCCCAGCACCCACATGGTGGCTATGAACCATCCTTAACTCCAATTCTGGGGGAATCTGAAGCCCTCTTCTGACTTCCATGGCATTGCACGACACAGGTGCACTCACATAAATGCATAAAATAAAAATAATAAATAAAATACTTAAAAAAAATAAAACAACCAAAATGATTTGTTGTGAAGAAAATAAAGTTGTAGTGATGGAAGCCTGGCAGAACTCTGTGAACAAACTAAAAACCATTTGGTATATGAATTAGGTCTCAATTAAGATTTAAACATGGGCTGGGCATGGTGGCACACACCTTTGATCCCAGCACTTGGGGGGCAGAGGCACAACAAGCTTGTCACCAGCCTGGTCTACATAGTAAGTTCCAGGACAGCTGGGGCTACAGGGAAACCCTGTCTCAAAAAGCCAAAAAAAAAAAAAAAAAAAAAGATTTAAACATGGGGCTGGAGAATTGGCTCAGTAGTTAAGAGCAGTGGCTGCTTTTGCAGAGGACCCAGGTTTGATTCCCAGCACCCACATAGTGGCTAACAACCATCTATAACGCCAGTTCCAGGGGTTCCAATGCTGTCTTCTGGCTTCTGAGGACACTGCACACGTGGCACACTCACATATATTCACATAAACACATACACATAAAAATTTAAAAAAATAGGTTCAAAGTTAATTACACCCTCCATTTGGTACGAGTGCATCAAATGCCCTGTAGAGCTGTATGCTGTACCTTTACTTGTATGATGTTTCCTTCCAGCTCAGTAGGTGTTTGAAGAGCCCACATGTCCTTGCCCTCCAACCCCCGACCACCTGGGAAGTTTGGCCCTTTTTTCCACATGGCTACTCGCCCTTTATCGGTACCAGCTGCCAGGAGACCTACAAGTTAAAACAAAGTGCATGTTAATTGAGTTTGAGGAGATGCTGGTTTTTGTTTCCAATTTGCTTTACTCAGTGCTGTTTCCCTAGTACTCCACTGGTGGTGAGCACTAGCAAGCATCAGAGTTACCCAAGCTTACCTTCTAACCCTCTGGCCCTGCTTGACATGTGTCTGTAAACATTTGCACACACATGCATTCATATACTTTCTGTGGTGCATGCATACTAACCACACCATCTCTGGAGGGTACAGGCATCAGTATACAGATAATCAGTTTGTCACCTTTTTTTTTTTTTTTGGTCTTTTTGAGACAGCGTCTCCCTGTAGCCCCAGCTGTCCTGGATTCACCATGGACACCAGGCTGGCCTCAAACTCACAGAGATCCGCCTGTCTCTGCCTCCTGAGTGCTGGGATTTAAGGCGTGTGCCACCACACCTGGCCAATTCGTCACTTTTTAAAATATTTATTATTTTTATGTATATGAGTGTTTTGTCTACATGTATGTAAGTGTACCTGTGTCATGCAATGCCTGTGGAGGTCAGGCAAGAACATCAAATTCCCCTGGAACTGGAGCTATGAATGGTTGTTAGCTGCCATGTGGGTGCTACGAATCGAACCTGGGTCCTCTGCAAAAGCAGTCAGTGCTCTTAACTGCTGAGCTAGTCTCTTCTCTCTGAATTTCCTCTTTCTTTTTTTTTTTTTGTCTTTTCGAGACAGGATCTCCCTGCATCCCCAGCTGGTCTGGAACTCACTATGTAGACCAGGCTGGCCTTGAATTCACAAAGATTCACCTGCCTCTGCCTCCCAAGTGCTGGGATTAAAGGTGTGCTCCACCACGCCAGGCAAGATTTTAATTTATATATATGTGTGTTCAAGTGTTCATGAAAGTCAGAAGAGGAGGTCAGATTCCCTAGAGATAGAGTTACAGGTGGTTGTGAGACACCTGACATGGGTGCTAAGATCTGAATTTATGTCTTCTGCAGGAGTAGACACTTTGAACTGATCTCTCCAGCCAGTCTGTCATTCTTTTGAACAAATCATTTGAAAATTACATGGAATAACAAAGTTTTAATGTTACTTGTTCATCCTTGACTGTATTTGAATGACTGATATGAGTTACAACTTTTACTTTTTGTTTATTTTTGGTTTTTTGGTCTTTTTGAGACAGGGTCTCCCTGCAGCCCCAGCTGGCCTGGAACTCAGGATGTAGACCAGGCTGGCCTCAATCTCAGAGATACACCTGCCTCTGCCTCTCTGAGTGCTGGGATTAAAGGCATGAGCCACCACACCCAGCTTCTTTAACATTTTTTAAAATAGGCTCTAAATTTCACTATTTTTTGCACAGTGCTTGAAGCTGTTTATATTCCTTTTGTCCTAGTTTTGTTATCAATTGACACACATGAGAAGAAGGAATCTCAATTGAAAAATTGCCTCCATCAGATTGGCCTGTGAGCATATCTGTGGGGCATTTTCTTGATTGCTCATTGATATAGGAAGGCTCAGCCCACAGTGTACCATGATTTGGGAAGGTGAGTCTGGGCTAAGAATGGCATTTAAGCCTTCCTTACTGGAAGCAAGCCAGTAAGCAGCATTTCTCCATGAGCTATGCTTTATTTTTTGCCTCAAGCATGCTGCCTTGGTCTCACTCGATGATGGACTGTAATCTGTAATATGAAATAAGCCCTTCCCTAACCCACACTGCTTTTGGTCATGGTGTTTATCACAGTAATAGAAACCAAATGTGAACACTTTTCATGTCAGGCCAAGAAATCTCACCTTTGGCTTTACAGAAACAAACACAGTTTATATTCTCTCCTTTTTCAAAGCCAAACTTCTCCTGTGGACTCAGTATATAATTCTCTCCTTGTTCCAAGTCCCAGAATCTGCAATGGAAGGAGAAAAGCCCCATGGAGGGCTATGTTAGTGCCCTCCTCTGATCTGAGAACTATAACCCTGTGAGAAAACTCAGAGCTGTGTTCTATAGGCTCCTGATATAAAAAAGAAACTTGTTTGCTTAATTAAAGAAGATGGTTGCTAAGGGACAGTTTATATGTGACATTAAATCAAAAACAGAACATAGGAATCCCAATTACACATGGCAAAGCAAGGCAGCCCCTGACTATCAAGTTGAATTGAATGGCCAAAAAATATAAAAATGCCTAGCTCTATTTATACCAATGTGTTTTTTTTTTAATTAAAAAAATTTTTTTATGTGCATGAATGTATTGCCTGCATCTGTGTAAGTGCAATTGTGTCATGCAGTGCATGCAGAGGATAGAAGAGGGTGTTGGATCCCCTGGAACTGGATAGTTGTTAGCTGCCTTGTGAGTGCTAGGATTCAAACTCAGGTCTTCTGCAAAAACAACTAGTGCTCTTAACTGCTGAGTTCTCTCTCCAGCCCCTATTTATGCCAATCTTAAAAAAAAAAATATGCAGAGCTGGGAGTGGTGACGTGTGCCTTTAGTCCCAGCACTCGGGAGGCAGAGGCAGGCAGATCTCTGTGAGTTCAAGGCCAGCCTGGTCTACATAATGAGTTCCATGACAGCTGGAGCTACAGGGAGACCCTGTGTCAAGAAAAAAAGACAAAAAATAAAAAATAAAGCAGTATCAGGTTTGGTGGTGTACACCTGTGGTCCCAGTTACTTGAAAGGCAGGAGCACTGCTTGAGCCCAGGAGTTTGAGACTAGCATGAACACCAGCAAGACCCCATCTTAAAAACAAAACAAGGCAGAGGCCAGCCTGGTCTACATAGTGAGTTCCAGGACAGCTGGGGCTACAGGGAGACCCTGTCTCAAAAAGACCAAAAAAAAAAAGCACCCCATGGCAGCTAACAACTGTCTGTAACTCCGGTTCTCCAGTTCCAGGGGATTGATAGCCTCTTCTGTCCTCGGTGGGAATTGCACAACACGGGTGCACTTATCTACATGGAGGCATAACACTCAGAGACATAAAATAAACATAATAAATTAAAAATTTAAAAAAAAACAAAAAACAAAACAAATCCTCCCAAAGTAGGCAAAGTGATTCCAAGAAGATACCATGACCATGTTGCCTGAAGGGATGGGAAGTGTATGGAGGGCAGCTAGGGTAGACAGGGACCCCTGGGGTCTCCATTGTTTAGTTACATGGACCTATCTAATATGTGAACATTCAGCATAATGTACATTTTCTTTTGGTCTTTTGGAGACAGGGTCTTCCTGTAACTTGCTATGTAGACAGGCTGGCCTTGAACTCAGAGATCTGCCTGCCTCTGCCTTCTAAGTGCTGGGATTAAAAGCATGTGCCACCATACCCTACCTACTAAAATGTGCATTTTCTCTTTTATTAAAAAATATTTTATTGCCGGGCATGGTGGCGCACATCTTTAATCCCGGCAGAGGGATTTTTGGTCTTAAAAAGACCAAAAAAATTTATTTATTTATTATTTTTCATTTTATGTGTATGCATATACCGTTTGCATGTAAGTAAGCGCACCTGTATCATGCAATGCCCAAGGAGGTCAGAATAGGCTGTCGGATCCTCTGGGACTGGAGTTTCGGACAGTTGTTAGCTGCCATGTGGTGCTAGGATTCGAACCCAGGTCTTCTGCAAGAACAGCCAGTGTTCTTAACTGCTGAGCCATCTCTCCAGCCCTATAATGTGCATTTTCTATGTGTGTGTTAAGGAGTTTGTCCTGACAGAATTTCTCAGTGGTTTGCAAGGGAAGACAAGCTCTTACCTGAGCACCGGTTCCCCTATGGCTGTCACAAGAAGGCTGCCCTCAATCAAAGCTATGTCTGCCTGGTGACCTGTTTTCCCGTTCAACTTTACCTATATGAAGAGAAAGCAACTTGACAGAAGCACATTGCTCTTGCTGAGATGCATACTCCAGATGTTGTCAGCCTGGCAGCTGGTCTTCTGTGCCATCATAGACTTACCACGTGAAGACAACCCAGGGCAAATAGAGGAAATGGATTTGGCATTGTTTCAAGATGTACAGGCTGAAGCAAATAGCAACTAACCTATACACAGCTGGGATTTCTAGGGTAGCGAGAGAGCTTGACACTCCTTGCTCTATCATGACTGCCCTGGGGAAGGTTTCCCATCCTTATGTGCAGAAAGCAAACTTACCCAGCCCACCAACCAGTAAGGGGCTAATCAGGTACCTGAATCAAGGCACTATGGACTAAACTGTATCCACCCTCCCTTTCATATGTTGAAGCACCAACTATAGACTATATGTGCAGATTGAGCCTTTAGGAGGTAATTAAGGAAGGATGGTGGACTTTGGCCTTAACTGAAGATACAGCAGAGAGCTCATGTTCATGCTTCCCCCAATGCTCACATGTGTTCTCTCTTTCCTCCTCTCTACCTTGTCTTCCTCCATGTGCAGACACAGGGAGGCCACTCTCTATAAGCCAAGAAGCATGCTCTCTCCAAGAACTGAATTGGCTGTAGACTCTAATGGTACTTCCATTCTTCAGAACTGTGAGTGAGAAATGTCTGTTGTTACACAATGAGTGGCTATTTTTCAGGGTGGCTCAGGCTGACTGAGATACCAGGTCCACATGACTCAGTGACTATTCACAACTGCTGTTACAAGATACATGAGCTCTAAAACCTATAGGAATATCTGTAGGGGAAGTTCAGCATTCTTTTTTTTTTTAATATTTTATTTATTATTTTCATTTCATGTGTATGAGTGTATTGCCTGCATTTCTGTGAATGCACCTGAGTTGTGCAATGCCAAGGAGGTCAGAAGAGGGCGTCGGACTCCCCCGGAACTGGAGTTAAGGATGGTTCGTAGCCACCATGTGGGTACTGGGAATTGAACCCGGGTCCTCTGCAAGAGCAGTCAGTGCTCTTAACCACTGAGCCATCTCTCCAGCCCCTTGTTTTGTTTTTTTGAAACAGGGTCACCACAGCTGGCAGACCAGGGTGGCCTTGAACTCACAGAGATCTGCCTGCCTCTGCCTCCCAAGTGCTGGGATTAAAGGCATGTGCCACCATGCCTGGCAGTTCAGCATTCTTTAAGGTACATAGATTCCAATAAATCAAAGAGATTGCCTTCACATCAGGATTTATGCCTGTAATTTGGCAGGCTAACACAGTAGGATCAGGAGTTCCAGGTTAGCCTTAGCTACATAGCAAGTTTTTCAGGCCAATCTGGGGGCTACATGGGACCCTGTCTTAAAGAAACTGATTAAAGAAAAAAAGGAAGTAGAGACCAATAGGTAGGCAGCAAGTTAGCAGTGTCTTCAAGTGAACTGCACAGGGTATACAGTAATCCAAGAGCATGGGCACTGGATGTCTTCCCACTGGACCTCTCAACCATGCAGAGGTCTCAGAACTAATACCACAGCTGTCCTTCCATGACATCTGTTATCTTTAAAAAAATATATCATAATTCAGTCAGGGTAACTAACATATGCTCAATGTATGAAACAAAATAAACATCTACGGGGGCAAATAGCAGATGTGAAAGACCCTGGTACAGATGGACCCGTGCAACAGACACTGGGTAATGCCACCACAGGTTCTGGGCCAACCAATGTGCCTCCTCAAGAGTGTTTTCCGGGGTATAGCTGGAAAAGTGGGGACAATGTCTCTTGTTCTATCCAGCTCTGTTTGTTGTGGAAACCCAATGAGATGGTGAAAAACTCACTAATTCCATGGGGGTGGGGGTGGGGAGTAGTCTGGTAGCAAATCTAGCTCATCTGATCCTGTCTAGGATCATATGTTTAGAGATACTAGACACTCTTTTATTTTCCTCACCTATACACTGACTGGCTGACAGTGAAAAGAGACACTGAATCAGGTTAGCTGTTCTTGAGCCCAAGTGACAGCTTTTCAGCCTTGCTAACCATGACAGAAAAGACAATCAAAGCAAGCAAGAAAAGCTGATTCCCAGGTTTTCAGCATGACCCAGCAACTGGGCAGGCCCAGTAACTTCCTCTTTTACCTACCTTCATCACTTCTTCAGCTTCTCCCTCAAGAGTCACCACATACAGGGACAGCAGAAGGTTCTGTGTAACCACCACCAGTGCCTCTCTCTTCTCAATGTAGAACAGTGCCTGGATTGAGCTGTCTGTGGATGCCACTTGGGCACTCTTGCCTTTTTCATCCACATAGTGTACTGTCCCTGGAGAAAGAAGTGGCTCACATGTAGGGACTCCTGGCTAATCTGTTTCAAGTAAATTCCAAGCAGCCACTTCTATCTAAAGCACGCTTTTATGACAAGTCACCTTTATAAGAACTTTGAACATTTACCAAAATATTTCTTAGGCTACCATCTCTAAAATAATCTGTTTTACTGGTTAGGTCAGCCTGGGCTTAGCTGTCTTTCCCTGTGGGTTCCTTCTCCACTAGTGTCCTGGAGGATGCCAGCTAGTGTCCAGCCCCTCTGAATTCTGTGGCTTCATTAACTTTTCTATCAATCTCTGTCCACTATCTTTAGGTGCATTTATACTCTCTTTATATTGAGACCCTAAATGATGACTCTTCTCCCTGTTCCTCAGGTCCTTTGCCATTGGTGTGCCATTTGCCATCCTGCTTGCCTCTATCTGATGCTCCCTCTTTTGTCCTCCCCAGCTTCTTAGCATCTAAACAGCAAGAGGCAGTGGTACCATAACAGTCCTTTCTCCCCACCTAGACACCTCCTCTTCCTGCCCTGCCCTGAGCTGCTGCTCTAACACTGGCCAGCATAGTCTAGGCTGCCTCCCTTACTCCTTCTTAGGTGCCTCTAAGTGATGGGTGAGTTTCTGAAGTTCTTCTGGAGTCTCCTCAGGGGGTCTTCTTGTTATTTGGTCTCATCTTATTTTCCATGAATACCTTGAGTTCTTATTAAATGGAAACTTCAAAGTTATCTAGGCTAATTGTAGCAACTAGTTTTTAATAGGTAGCGATGAGGTAGCAGGTTCATTTTTCAGTGCTTTAACAGACAATAAAATAGTAGACACTGGTAAAATCCCCATTTTCCACAGAGATAGAAATTGAGGCATATTGAACAGCCAAAGCCCACATATTGGGTGACAGGCAGGGATCTAGATCTAGTACTGGGTTCTTCCATAGCTCTGTATACACCCCCTTTCAGGATGCTAGCATCATTCCCTCCATCTTAGCTCTCCTTCCTATGTCCCCACCCCCAGCCATGGTGTTGTGCCTACTTGGATGTCCCCTCTGGGACTTCCTCAATTCCCCTTCTACTGGCTCTGTCTCTTAAAATATTTTATTTATTATTTTTAGCGTATGAGTGTATTGCCTGCCTATATGCAAGTGCACCCGTGTTGTGAAGTACCTGAGGAGGTGAGAGGAGGGTATAGGATCCCTTGGAACTGGAGTTACATACTAACTGTTGTTAGCAGTCATGTGGGTGCTAGGAATTGAACCTGGGTCTCCTGCAAGAGCAGTCACTGCTCTTAACTGCTGAGCTATCTCTCCTACCCCTCTGCCTCTTTCTTACCTTCTAAAATGAAATATTTTCCTACTCAGAAACTGCAAACTTTACAACCTCTTCTAACATCAGCAGCCTTCCTTATCAAACCCAATGGCTCTCCTGTGGTTCTCACTTCCTGGGCCTCTGCTAGGGATAGACATGTACATATAACTTTTTCCTTTTAGAGTGTAGTTGTTTTAGCCTTGGCTGGGACGAGTATCTCTTATATTGAGGACAAGAGGTTTTAAAAATCAACAGATGGGAACCAGGTGTGGTGGTGTACCTATAATCTTAGCCCTCAGGAGGCTGAGACAGGAAGATTGCCACAAGTTTGAGACCTATCTAGGCTCAAAAACCCCACAGAAAATAGCTAAATAAGTAAAACTGACAGTTGGTCAGCTTAATACTGACCACTGTGAGGCCTAGCTGCAAGCTGGAGGCTACAAAGGCAACTTCCCATCCTGCTCATGCTTCATTCTCAGAGTCTGGCTTGTACCTGGCATACAGCAGGTGCTTGATAATTATGCAAACGGAATAATGGGTAGCCACAAAAGAATTTTTTTTTTTTTTTTTGCTCTTTTTGAGACAGGGTCTCTCTGTCGCCCCAGCTGTCCTGGACTCACTATGTAGACCAGGGTGGCCTTGAACTCACAGAGATCTGCCACTACGACCCACACAAAAGAAGTATCTTTCAAAACTATTTCTACAGTCTTTCAGTCAGGGTAGAACTGTTAATTAAAAGCTTTCTGACCTATGCATAGTGGTGCATGCTTGTAATTCCAGCATTTGGGAGGCTGAGGCAGGAGGAAGAGCATAAGGTGAAGGCTAGCCTGGACTATATAGTGAGACCCTATTTTAAAAAACAAAGTAAGGCTGGGCGTGGTGGCGTATGCCTTTGATCCCAGCACTCGGGAGGCCAGCTTGGTCTCCATAGCAAATCCAGGCCAGCTAGGGCTACAGGGAGACCCTGTCTCAAAAAGACCTCCCCCCACAAAAAACAAAAACAAAAAACCCAAAAAAACAAGAAAGCAAAGGTGGCCTGAAAGATGGCTCAGCAGTTTAGAGCACTGGTTTTTCCTGTAGAGGACCTTGGTGTGATTCAGCACCCACATGGCAGCCAACAACTGTCTGTAACTCCAGTTTCAGGGAATCTGATGCCCTTTTCTGACCTCCACGGGCCTTGCACAACACAGATGCACTAACACACATGCAGGCAATACACTCATACACATAAAAATAAAAAGTGCTGCCTGGCATGGTGGCGCACACCTTTGATCCCAGGACTCAGGAGGCAGAGGCAGGCGGATCTCTGTGAGTTCAAGGCCAGCCTGGTCTACATAGTGAGTTCCAGGACAGCTGGGGCTACAGGGAGATGCTGTCTCAAAAAGACCAAAAAAAAAAAAAAAAAATGCTGCTGGGTGTGGTGGCGCACGCCTGTAGTCCCAGCACTTGGGAGGCAGAGGTAGGCGAATCTCTGTGGGTTCAAGGGTAGTCTGGTCTACATAGTGAGTTCCAGACAGCTGGGGCCACAGGGAGACCCTGTTTCAAAAAGACCAAAAAAATAAAAATAAAATAAAAAATAAAAAGTGCCAGGCGTGGTGGCACATGTCTTTAATCCTAGCACTCAGAAGGCAGAGACAGGTGGATCCCTGTGAGTTTGAGGCCAGCCTGGTCTACATAGAGAGTTCCAGGCCAGCTTTGGCTTCAGGCAGACCCTGTCTCAAAAAGACCAAAATAAATAAATAAATTTTTTAAAAAGCAAAATAAAAAATCCCCAACAACACACACATACACACATTCAAAACTTCTTAAGAAAACTCAATACAAATTAAGATGGTCTGCCCTCATCTCTTGCCAGAACAAAGCACAGCACCATCTAAGCAGAAAAACACCTCCAGAGAGCCCAGCATCCCAAGGTGCATGCACTGAAGCCTATACTCATTCTACACAGGAACATTATTGCCAGCCTAAAATCCTGGCCAGATACTCCTCATTCTTTGACTCCTAGAATTATATCCTGAGTTCCTTACCATCCAAGAGACTGACAAAGAAAGACAGTCCCTCTTGAGAGCCAGTCTTCAGGAAACTTCCAAAGCTGCTTTTCTTCCAGTTAAACATATCCAGGGCTTTCTCATCCCCACTCACTGCTGCCTTTGCCAACTGAACCAGATCCCTGAGAGTAAAGGAAATAGCAGTCAAGATTCCTAGAGTGATTTGGGACTGGGTTCACTTTGGTCAGGAGCCACACACATTACCCCCAGGATGAAGGGAGACATAAATCAGACCATGTGGGGCTTCACACTTACTCTCCAGGAGGGGGAAGCCGGAAGATGCAATGGGTGAGGTGCTTCCCGTAATCATGTTTCAGAAGAGGTGTTCCCTGCACTCGCCCCCGCTGGTCAAGTCTCCACAAAAGCAGGACTCCAAGCTGCAGGAGGTCAACAGTATGTGTGAGGAAACTCCTTGCAGAACTACTGGTGGGAGTGGACAGTAAACGGCACAGTACAATATAAGCGATTCTTTGTTCAAAAAAAATAAATAAATCATGGTACTACATGTGCATGATGGAAATGCCAAACTATTTAAAAATATTTAAAGAACCAGTGACTTTTCTCTGTACCCCCTTCTCTTCTTCACTCCTAGAGCAGCTGTCATGTGCTTCCTTACAATACTTTGGAATGGATTCTGATTTACAGAAAGATTATAAAGACAGCATAGAGTTCCTATATGACACTGGGGTTTCCCTACTAATAAGCTGTATGGTATATTTCTTAGAGTTAATGAGTTAGGGCTAGGGATATATGGGGGGGGCACACGCACACACACGTTTTGAGTTAAATCCCTAGCATTGTCGGGAAAAAAAAGCACTCACCTAGATTTAATGAACTAATAATTACATGTCCACTAACTGAAGTCCATACCACTTCCTTTCGATTTTTTTCAGTGTCCCTTACTATCCCTTTTCTGTCCCAAGAGCCCGTCTAGAACCCCACATTTAGTTGTCATGTTTTCTTAGGCTCCTAAGACTTTCCTTGTTTGCTTACAGTTTTAAGGTGCTGTCCTCATATAGTACAGGATATCCCTCCATTGGGATTTGTCTGATATTTTCTCCATAAATGAACAGGGGATTACAGGTTTGTGGGGGGAGGACCAGAGGAGCAGTGCCCTACTGCAAACACAGTTCATCACTGTGGATGGTGACCTCAATACCTTGTAGAGGTAGTGCTTATCTGGTGTGAAGTGAACCTTTTCCCTCCCTTTCTATGCTGTACTCCTGGGAAAGAAGTCGGCACTGTGCAGTCCTCACTTAAGTGGCGGCAGCCATGTTCTATCTCCTCGGAGATGAAGTATCCATATACATGATTTAGTATTCTTCAACACAAGAGATTTGTCACTTTCCCATCGTTTATTGATTTAAGATTATATCAGCAAGCTCATGGATATTTATTTCCTGCTTTGGTTATAAACCTAATTGTTTCAGCTCTGACTACTAGGAGCATTTCCTGTTGTCCGGAGTCCCTCTCACATACCCCAAAGGATCCTTGCTTCTTTCACTAAAGCACTGGAAATCAAGATCTAGGCGCCAGATAGTACAGTTAGTTTTAAAGTCATCAAAGCCTTAGATCGATGGCATAATTAAGTGCTAGAGAAATCTAAGCTTGGGAGAAAAAGACTGGCTGATAAGGGCTTCCAGACTGGGGAATGAGTCAAGCTTTGCCAAAGGACAATATTTCAATCAGAATCTCTTCACTTAGGTACCCAAGCATTTCCCAAGGACTGTTTCTCTGATCAAGGCCAGTAGATATTTCAGTACAGGTGAACTCTTCTTTGCTGCCCTCACAACACCAAGTGCTGAATGAACTGCCTTTATCGTGGGTAAGAAGGGGATTTTCAAGTCATATTGACTTTAAAAGAAACATATATTGGACCTCTAAGAATATGCAAGATCTGCAGGGTGTTATGGCACACACCTTTAATCCCAGCACTGGGAGGCAGAGGCAGGTGTATCTCTGTGAGTTCCAGGCTAGTGAGCTCCAGGATAGCTAGGGCTACAGGGAGACCCTGTCTCAAAAAGAACGCCCCCCAAAAATATGCAAGATCTGAGAGCATGAAAAGTGAATACACATATAAACAGTATATATTATGAAACTGACTCTCCTTGACTGCCAGTTTTATTCAGACAAGAACTCCTTTTTTAAATATATTTTATTTATAATTTTTATTTTTTATGTATATGAGTGTATTGCCTGCATGTGAGTGTACCCGTGTCATGCAATGCCGTGGAGGTCAGAAGAGGGCTTTGGATTCCCCTGGAACTGGAGTTAAGGATGGCTCGTAGCTGCCATGTGGGTGCTGGGAATCGAACCCAGGTCCTCTGCAAGAGTAATCAATGCTCTTAACTGCTGAGCCATCTCTCCAGCCCCCAAGAACTCCCTTTTAAAGTTTTTTTTTTAATTTTTAAATTGCTTGTACAAAGCCAGATGTGGTGGTGTGTGCTTTTAATCTCAGCACTCGGGAGGCAGAGGCAGGTGGAGCTCTGTGTGATTGAGACTGGACTTACATAGCAAGATGCAGGCCAGCTGGGGTTACAGGGAGACCTTGAAAACAACAACAACAACAACAAACCTTGTACAGTGAGGAAAAAAACAACTTATGAAAACACAGAAAATGAAACTGCCCCATGTCCCAGAGCCAAGCACTACAAGGGAACCTATAAATTTTAAGATGCTCATCCCTGACTTTGGTTAGAAAGCTTTACAGTATTGAAGCTTCTAGATGCCAGCACAGCCAAGTTCTTAAATACAAACACAGACCACATGCAGGTTTCTGGGCTGCTATTTGGGAGAGGAGTCACTAGACACAAACGTCAGTTCCTTACAATAAACTACTAACTTTGGAATGGATTCCAATTTACAGAAAGACTGCAAAGACAGTGATGAGTTCTTATATGATACCAATTTAACAGACTGTATGGTATACTTCCTGGAGTTAATGAGCTTGGGCTGATGCCTAGCTCCATCAGAACTAAACTGGGTGTGGTGACGCACGCCTTTAATCCCAGCACTCAGGAGGCAGAGGCAGGCAGATCTCTGTGAGTTCAGGGCCAGCCTGGTCTACATAGTGAGTTCCAGGACAGCTGGGGCTACAGGGAGACCCTGTCTCAAAAAGACATTAAAAAAAAAAAAAAAGAAATGTGCCCAGAACAATGAATTTTGCTCATGTAGTTAGTAGAATACCCCTCATTCTACCAATGCACAGAGGAAAGAGCCCATTTGATCATGGATTTAAATTTGCACTGGCTGATAGGGAAGGGAATCGATGGATGTAATGAGTCAAATGTTTCCTGACTTCAGGTTTCTGCCTGCTGAGCTAGAAATGTGAACACAAAGTACCTAGCTTAGGAATTAACTTGGAGATATTGCTGCCTTCTTTGTAGCACCTTTCTGCTTATTATCCCAAATGCTACACATTAAACAGATTCAGGCTCCAAGTCTGGAAGTCTTCTCCATGTCTTTATCCTCCTGAAGGTGCTCCCTGTCTTGTGAGCACTTGAAGTCTCACCATTTCCAAACGTGACCTTATGTCCAGGGCTGTCTCTTCACATTGTTATTCCTTCTAAGTTATTTCATGCAATGTAGTTGTACACAGTAAGACCATGAAGAAAAGCTGTTTCTACAGCAAAACAGGCCCCATTTGTGAAGGTGACTATACAGTCAGTCAACACACTAGTGAGGAATGTGAATGGCCATGCTATACTGCCAAAGGTAGTTAAATGCTAAGTACTCTAAAAGCACATCACTGAAAGTTTGGCAAAAGACTGGTTTGTCATATGTTGGGGTATAAGTCTACTTAATCTTCATACTGGCTTCTGTGAGAGGTACTGGAAGGAGACAAATGGCCTGGCTTGTGTTGCAATCTGTCCTTATCTATACCAACAGGACTTCTAATGGACATTTAGTCATATCCCTCCAAGTCCCTTTCTAGGGATGGTCCCCTCCTCAGGTGCTATTGACTGGTACACACATAGGGTGCTGGGGCAAGATGCCTTAGGACAGAGGCAAAGCAAATCTTCCTGAACCTTCTGTGCTCTTGTCTAAACCATGGGACAGACTAGTAGTATCAGATTAAGTGTACCTTCTTGTTTCAACTGGTCTGGGTTGGTTACACTGGTGAGCACAAAAGGAGTGCTGGAGGAAGAGTAGGGCGCTGAAGGAAGAGTGGAGGACCGCCCCCAGCACCAAGTCTGGTGAGGGATGTTGGCTTGTTCCTTATATTTTTCTTCCTGCTTGAACTCATAATTAAATTGGTTCTAGCACAATGTTAGATTTTCTGAAAAGGATTAAGCATTTCTTTTCTTAAATATTCTGACTCAAGGGATTTAGTCATTCCACACCTGGGTTTCATTTTATGCCTGAACAATCAGTTTTGTTGTTTCTCAGTTTCATCAAGATAAGAATGATGAAATGAAATGATCTTGAATTATTCGATTCCAGCAAGGGATTGTCAGACTGTTCCACAGCAGGTAGGTGGAAAACTCATTAAGAAAAGGAAAAACCCAATTGAAAAATGGGCAAATGTAAAGGAAAAAGAAATACAAATGACTCTGGGAATTATACTCATCCTCAACATCAACAGAAATGTACACTATAGAACTACTGAGATATTAATTTCTTTTTTAAAGAATTCATTACATTTACTTATTGTGCGTATGTGCGCACATGCATGTGCACACTGTGGTATATGTGTGGCAGTCAACTGTGGGAATTGGTTCTCTCCTTCAATCATGTCAGTTCTGGGGACTGAGCTGGTCGTCAGGCATGGTGGCAAGTACTCTTACCCACTGCTGAGCCATCTCACTAGCCCTTTCTTTTCTTTCTTCTCTGCTGTTCTTTTTTCTCTTTTCTGCGCCTCGTCCCCCAAGTGCTGAGGACTGAACCTAGGGACATGGACACGCTAGACATCACTCTACTACTGAACTACACCCCTAGCCCAAGATGTTACATTTTGAGACAATGTCTCATATATCCTAGGCTGGCCTTAAACTTGCTATGTAGCTGAGGATGGCCTTTAACTTCTGATTATCCTGAGTGCTGGAATTAGAGGCATACACCGCCATGCTGTTTTTATACAATGTTGGTGATCAAATCCAGAACTTCATGCATGCTAATCAAGCCTCTACCAACTAAGCTACATCCCCTACAACTAAGTCACAAGGTATGCTACCTTTTCTAAACAAAGTTCTTATTCCTAGTAAGTGCTTCTGTGGGAAACACACATGCTGTGAGCTGCTTCAAATCCATAGAGGGTGTTTTGGTTAAAAACCCATCCAAACACAAGGGTAGGGGTTGGTGGTATGGCTTAGTGGTAGAATTCTTGCCTAGCACATGTGAGACCCTGGGTTTAATCCCTAGAACTCCAACAAAACAAAACAAAACATTACAATGGTATATGCCCTGGATCCTACTGGCTCCACCAATGCATTACTGTAAACATATACACATGCAAAATGGTAAAAGCACAAGGAACCTTTGGTGAAAGACTAGAAACTAGTGAAATATTTACCACCTAGTAAAATAATGCTATAGAAAATGCAAAGTGTGTGTATAGTATCCTATTATTTGTCTTTTTGTTGGTTGTTTTTTTTGACAGGGTCTCCCTAGTCATAGCCCACCTGGAAGTCATGAATGTGAACCAGGGTGGACTTGATCTCGCAGAGATCCACCTGCCTCTGCCCCCTGAGGACTGGTATTAAAGGCACACGCCACCATGCCCGGCAGTATGCTATATTTTAAAATTGAGCAAATAAGGAAAATAGTTTGGATCTGAAAGTCTCCAAGGGCCCATGTGCTTTATAAATACTAGGTCCCAGCCTGTGGTGCTATAGCAAGGCACTGGAACCTTTAGGAGCTGGGGCCTATTTGAAAGAAGTCAAGTCAGTGGGAGGTATGTCTTTGAAAGGGATAGACCTTGGTCCCTTCTTTGCTTCCCAGTAGCTATGATGTAAACAGATGTTTTCCACTATGTACACATACCATGATGTATTGTGCTACCATAGGCCCAAAGCAACAGGGACAAGTAATCAACCTTCTATGTGATATTCTGAATTAGGAAAAGACAGCTATAAAGGACATTACTGTGACAAATGGCAAAAAAGTTTTTTTAGTGTGCGTGTGGTGTACATGTATTATACAGGACTCTCCTCTGAACCAGCCAGCATCTTCCCAAGTTCAGTTGAGCCAGACACCATCTTCCTGAGTTCAGCTTTGCCCATTTGCAAAAGGTCTTCAGAGCTGGGCTTGTTGACTGTTGATATCCACACACAAAAGCAGGGGCAGGGATAGTCATGGGACCCTTACCTGAGTATCCAGACACTCCTCCCAACTCATTGTGGGCAATTCTGCCCCAACTGCATGTGGCCTTAGGGAAGGGCTAGAGAACATTAGGCCTGGGAAGACTAAGAGAAGGAGGTTCCATCTATGAGGCTATGGAGAATCCTTCATCCACACTGGGTGAAGGTTTTCTGGTGGAGCCTTAGCAGGGAACACCCATACTTCAATAAACAACCCCTTATTTATGCTCTGTAAGTAAGCTCAATATAGTCATCGGTGCCCAAAGTGATCTTGGGTGTAACTGCACCTTAGATTAATGTTGGAACCAAGGGAGGAGGGGGTGGATGTTGCTCTCCCCCAGGGAAGTTTTAGCAACAGATTATATGTAGGGATGCTCGTGTGTGTAGGCACATGGAGTTGTGCATGTAGAGGCCGAAGGTGCTATCGGGTTCTTTTGCTCTTCACATTTTTTAATGTCACAGGGTCTCTCATGAAACCCAAAGCTTGGAAATTCCAGCTAGTCTAGCTAGCAAGGTTGTTCTGGGGAATCCACTCTCTCTGCCCCTCGTGTGCTGTGATTCCACCACATCTGCCTGGATGACATGAATTCTGATTCCAAACTTGGGTCTTCATGCTTGCATGGCAAGGGTTTTATTTTCCTAGCCCTGACTAGAGAAATGTTAACATGGACTGTATATGGGGTAATAGTACTGTATCAGTGTTCAGTTTCTTGAATGTGACAGATACTTTGTAGCTATTCAGCTAGCTTTTGGGTGGTCCATGCCTTTGTATTTAGGAGTATAGTATACTGTCTGTGAGAACTTGCAAGTACCCAGGAAAAAGTACATACAGGAAGAGAGAAGGCAGATGTGTCAGTGTCAACAGTTGGTAAATCTATGTGAAAGGCAGATAGGTATCCCTTGTGCTTCTTTTCCCTGTTCCTTTAGGCATCCTTCAAGGTTCTTCAATGTCAGAGGATAGAAAGAGCAGTCAACGGTGAGGTGGCTCTGGAAATTCTGCAGGCCTTTGTAGTTCTCTAAGCCCCTACAACATCTCATGCATATAGGCCTTGATATTCACGAAGTCTTTGGTGAAGGTGTTGCTGGACTCTATGAGGAGAGGACTCTTAAAAACAATGAATTTGTGAGCTTCTGCCAGTGTCAGCTCTTGGGAAAAAAATGCTATCCCAAGGCTACAGAGATGTATGAAACAGATGTGGCCACTGTGTGAATAAAGAAGTTATAGCCTGCCAAGCGTGGTGGTGCACGCCTTTAATCCCAGCACTTGGGAGGCAGAGGCAGGCGGATCTTTGTGAGTTCAAGGCCAGCCTGGTCTACATAGTGAGTTCCAGGACAGTTGGGGCTACAGGGAGACCCGGTCTCAAAAAGACAAAAAAAAAAAAAGAGAAGTTATAGCCTAAATCTACCTGTGTATATAATTCTGAGCACTTAGCTTCCTGGAATCACTTAATAACATTTATCTGTTGAAACATACATATATACCAGCTGCTCATATACTCAATGGCCCAGCACCTTTCCCAAATCTTGTTTCTCCCTCATGGTATCCAAGGCCTACAGTTTAGGGAGTGTCACTATGATGGGATCCTTAGGGTCACTAACAGTGAGAGCCTATACTATTCTTTTGACTCCTCTGAAGGCTTTAAAAGTGTGTGCCTAGAGAAACTGGAGAAACCCTAAGAAGCATATGTGCTAGAGGGTGGGCTGTGGTGACCCAAGGGATGAACTGTGGCGTCTTTTCACTCTACATGACTTTTATGCCTTTGAAACAGGTCAATGCATTACCTTCATTTAAATGAATATGTTTTAAAATTTCTGCTGTACATTTGTGAATCAAATCTGTGTTTCTCAGTCTCAGCAGCTCATTCTTGTTATGGGGAATGCCCTGTGCTTTATAGAACACGGGCTGCATTTCTAGCCTCTACAATAGGGCACACAAGGTGCAGTTGGAGCTCTTAAGTTATGATTACAAAAAAGTCTCTGGACACTGCAAAATGTTCATGAAATGGATGATTCTGGAGCGCCACAAAAGAGCTGGTATCTGGGTCACTCACCCTGTCTCCCTGAATGCAATTTCCTAAAAAAGTTTATTTAAAAAATTATAGACATATTTTTGCCACACAATGGGATCTTAGGATGTATACTTCAAGTCTTGCTTCAAATATAAAACAAAATCTGCAATTGCACTTAAAGAGGCCAGTTGAATCTAGAAAGTATACATTTCAAATAATTTGGTTTTTAGCATCTTTCACATGCATCTATATAAAAATGGTGGGGATGGAGACTGTATTACTTACCTTATCTCCAGACACCAGGCAGTTCCCACTAGTACTCCAACTGAGGATGGCGATATCAATGGTGTGTGGCAGGGGCACTGTGTGCTGCTCCTTGTCCTGCTTATTAAATATTATCACTTCTCCAGTCTCCCAGCCAATAGCCAGGATCAGCTGTTTTGGGTGCCAGCATAGGGAAGTGACCTGGAAAGACCTCTCAATATGGGTGTCAGGTATAGGTTCACCCTGTGTGGGATAAGAGGTAAAATTCCCCCATTGTGGACAGTGGTAGATACTTTTTAAAAACTGCCTAATCCACCAGGTGTGGTGGTGCATGCCTTGAATCCCAGCATTTGGGAAGCAGAGGCAGGTAGATTTGTTGAGTTCAAGATCAGCCTGGTCTACATAGTGAGTTCCAGGACAGTTTGGGGCTACAGGGAGACCTTGTCTCAAAAAGACCAAAAACAAAACAAAACAAAACCAAAGAAAAAGCAAACAAACAAACAAACAAACAAACAAACAAAAACAATAAAAAACCTGCCTAATCCACAGAATTAACATCAGCTAAAAGATCAGAAGAGCTATTTAATAAGGAAATGAGATGGCTGGTCTTTCATTTTTGTGTGTGGGTACACGTGTGTAGGCACATGGGTGCACATGTGTATGGAGATAAGCGGTTGATGTTGGGTATCTTCCTCAATCACTCTCTACATTACTCTTAGATCTTTTTTTGAGATAGGGTCTCCCTGTAGCCCCAGGTGGAACTATGTGGACCAGGCTGGCCTCAATCTCACAGAGATCTGCCTGCTTCTGCCTTCTGAGTATGGGGATTAAAAGCATGTGCCACCATGCCTAGCTGATTCTTAGATTTTGGTCTTTTGAGACAGGGTCTTCCTGTAGCCCCAGGTGGCCTGGAATTCACTATGTAGACCAGGCTGGCCTTGAACTCACAAGATCCACCTGCTTCTGCCTCCCAAGTGCTGGGATTAAAGGCATGCACCACCATGCCTGGCCTGATTCTTTTAAATTAAAAAAAAAAATTACTATTTTTTTATTTTATGTGTATGAGTGTTATGACTGTATGTATGTAAGTGCACCTGGGTGGTACAATAACCATGGAGGTCAGAAGAGGGCATCAGATCCTTTGGAACTGGAGTTACAGATGGTTGTTAGCCATCATTCTCAGGGAATCTGATCCCTTGCAGGCACCCGAATGATTAAAGTTGCCTTCAAAATGATACTAAGTTGTTATCAGCCATGTTTATTCTTATTCTCTCCTGAGAGTACAGTGGAGTTTCTAAAGACCTAGTGGCATGTGATGAAGTCTTAGCTCTGAAAGCCCCTCTGGCTTGTATACTCTGAAGCTTCGAAGAATTTTCTAAGAAAGTAGGTTTGGTATATAAGTAGTATACTTTCAGATCTTTGTTCTAGTTTTTCTACTGGGCTTTTGTGTAATTTTCAGTTACATGTGCTCATTTTAGTTTTTGAGACAAGGTCTCACTTTATGGCCCTGGCTTGACTGGAACTTGTTATATAACCCAGGCTGGCCTTGAATTCAGAGATCTGCCTGCCTCTACCTCCTGAGTGCTAGGATTAAAAGCACATACCAGTATGCCCGGCTTAGTTATGGCTTGTTGTAATTATGACCTATCACAGCTAATAAATGCTTATTTTGAGAATTTTTTTTGAGACAGGGTCTCCCTATAGCCACAGCTGGCCTGGAACTCAGAGATCTGCCCGCCTCTGCCTCTAGAGTGCAGGGAATAAAGGTGTGTGCCACCATGCCTGGCTTAACACTGGTGTCTTTTTTTTTTTTTTTTTTTGGTCTTTTTGAGACAGGGTCTCCCTGTAGCTCCAGCTGCCTGGAACTCACTCTGTAGACCAGGCTGGCCTCAAACTCACAGAGGATCTACCTGACTCTGCCTCCCGAGTGCTGGGATTAAAGGCATGCGCCACCACACCCAGCAACACTGGTGTCTTTTTAAAAAGAGGAAAAGAATGCCTTTAATTTCAGTACCTGGAAGGCAGAGGTAGGTGGATCTCTCTGAGTTTGAGGCCAACCTGTTCTATAGCATAGGCCTGGAATCCCAGCACTGGGGAGGCTGAGGCAGTATGATCACTGTGAGTCCAAGGGAAATCTGGTTACAGTGTGAGATCCTACTGAGGGGAGAGAGGAGGAGAGAGAGGAAAGAGGAATAGGGAGAGAGAAGGAGAGGAAGAGGGAGGAAGGGACAGGGAGAGGCCCAATGGGACTCGTAGAATGCTTACACAGCACATGCCCTGGGTTCAATCCCCAGCACTACAACAAATGAACAAACAAAAGAGACAAGACACAGACACATACACTAAGACATAAGACAAGGACATTAGACAGATTTCAGAGAGAGCATAGCTCTGCTCAGGCTTTGCTCACACCTTGATTCTAGATTTCTGGCTTCTGTAGCTGTGAGAAAATAAGTCTCTATAATTTGAAGTCACCTAGTTTGTGGTAATTTGTTATAGCAGCCATAGGAAAATAGTACAGTTTCAAAGGATCAACATGAAGAGTCAAAGAGGGTGCTGGCAGGACAAGGGGTCAGGTTTAAACATGCCTCCCAACCTATATAACAGAGATAAGAGAGTTGCTACATATGAGGCTTTGATAATGATTGGGAATAACTGGACCTCAGTAAGAACTGATGAAGAGAAAACTAGAATGAAGATACAGTCCCCTTCCCATAGATCCCAAACAAAAGGAACACAAGAGCCAGAAGCTGCTGAAGCCACGAGTAGCTCTGAGGACTCACTTGGTCCAGGTAGATGTTCACACTGCCTCCTGAAGATGGGCTTATAGAGGCTACTGCCAGGAATGAGTGAATAGGGTGCCAGGCAATGTGAGATGGGTACGCAGCTGCATCCATGGCTTTAATTCGGTGGTCAAAATACAGAGCCATGATGATACACAGATCTGGTCAGGGATGAAACCTGCAGAGGGGGGAGAAAAAAGCCACCAAGAATAACTACATGTAAAATTAAAAAAGAGAAGCAAACTTACAATCAAAGATACTGAGTATCTTTGGACTAATGCAGGCTATTTTATTTGGATGAGATCTTATTGGGAAAAAATAAACAATTAAAAGCAAAGAATTGGACTTGGAATGACCCAAGGTGTACAGGAAAAGAAATACAATTCACTGCATCAAAGAAAGAACTAAAAAGAGAATGAAAGCAAATACCAAAACCTAGCCTTCAAACAATTGGTAATTTTCACTCCAGATACAATAAAGATGATTTCAATTTCTATGGCTACCTTCAGGGAAAACACTGAACCAAAATCAAAGCAAACAGCCCATAAGAGAATACCTGTACAGGGAAAAAAAAAAGTACTCAATTTCTGAAAATCTGTAAAATTCAAGAATATCACCTAACTCTGACTCCCAGGTGGTAGAGGACAGAGGTTCCTTATAAGAGAGTCAGGGTCACAAAGCTATAGTGACTGTGGAAAAGCTGAACTCCATTTGTTTGTAAATATTCATTCATTCGCTTGTTTGTTTGTTTATTTATTTATTTATATTTTTGTCTTTTTAAGACAGGGTTTCTCTGTAGCCCCAGCTGTCCTGGGACTCACTATGTAGACCAGGCTGGCATTGAATTCACAGAGATCGGTCTGCCTCTGCCTCCCAAGTGCTGGGATTAAAGGCGTGTGCCACCACGCCTTTTAAGTTTTATGAGTATGCATGTAGGTAAGTGCAACGCCCTTGGAGGTCAGAAGAGACTGTCGGAATCCCTGGGACTGGAGTTACGGAGAGTTGTTAGCTGCCATGTGGGTGCTGGGATTTGAACCCTGGTCTTCTGCAAGAACAACCAGTGTTCTTAACCATTGAGCCATCTCTCCAGCCCCTGTAAATATTTTATTTACCATTTTTATGGATATAAGTGTATTGCCTGCATATATGTTAAGTGCACCTATGTCATGCAATGCTCATGGAGACCAGAAGAGAGGTAGTAAATCCCCTGGAACTGGAGTTACAGACAGTTGTTAGTCACTATGTCAGTACTGGGAGCTGAACCTGGATCCTCTGCAAGAGCAGTCAGTGCTTTTAACCACTGAGCCATCTCTCCAGCCTCCTTAAACAACTTTTAAATTAAATCAATGAACTTAATTTCTTTCATTCTTCCTTTGAGATATGGAAATGAGCCACATATCATCCCTTTCAGGACACAGAATCCTGAATGCAATAACAGTCTGACTATTGCTCATCTTTTCATAACCCAGAGTCAGTAAAGAGAGGCTAAAACTCGAAGAGAATTGTGGGTCAGCTTGCCATTATTTTAAATTATTCAACCTTACATCTACTATGACATTTACTATTAGAACAAAAGAAAATACTAGTAAGGATGTAGAGAAATTAGAATCCTTGTGTTTTGGGGAATGTAAAATGAAGCTGTGAGGAAAACAGTACAGTGGTTCCTTAAAAAAATTAGATACAGAATTACCGTATGATCCAGCAATTACACTTCTGGGTACATACTCTCAAAGAATTCAAAGCAAGGGACCTAAACAGTTCTGGAGACAGATGTAGTGATGGCTGTACAATATTGTGAATGTGATTAATACCACTGAATTGTACACCTTTTAAAAAAATATTTAAAAAATATTTTATTATTTTTATTTTATCTGTATGAGTGTATTGTCTGCATGAGTAGCCAGGGTTCTTAACTGCTGAGTCATCTCTCCAGTTCCTGAATTGTATACTTTCAAATGGTTAAAACAGTAAATTTTTTTCCCTAGTGCTTTGGATTGAACAAAGGTCCTCTTTCATGGTGGGGAAATGTTTTACTATTAAGCCATGCCTGCCACCCAATGGTAAACTAATGTTTTTGGAATCACAATAAAAATTATTTAAAAAATAAAAGAGACCTGCAAAGCTCTGTCAAGATAGTAGGGACTAGACTATGCTGTTTGCTTTTAGCAAAATAACAGCTGTATGAGAGAGCCATTAAGGCTCAGTTTCTATTTGGAGAAGGAAAACCTCTTATAATGAGAAGCTGGAAGACACATGGTGACAAAGGAATTATCAGTGTTCAAATGTGAGCCTTTTACTTAGAACTACTGGCCCTGAATATTTAAAGTCATAATTTTTAAAGTTATGCTTTTACCACTATAAAAAAAGCAATAAGCTGGGTGTGGTGACACATGCCTTTGATCCCAGCACTTGAGAGGCAGAGGTAGGCAGATCTCTGTGAGTTCAAGGCCAGCCTGGTCTACATAGTGAGTTCCAGGCCAGCTGGGGCTACTGGGAGACCCTGTGTTAAAAAAAACCAAAAAAAAAAAAAAAAAAAGCAATAATGCAAGGATCCTGACAGGGTGGTCAGATGTCAGGTATGATCTTCAGACTCTCAAATGACTGGAGTAGCAGAAGGCAAAGTCAAAGTTGTCTCCTGCGCACAGCTGTAACTTGGGGGACATCTATCTACATTGGTCAGGGTTTCTGGTTTGCAAAGTTCTTAAGAAAACCTTCAAATTAAACTGTTAAAAACGAAAAAGCTGGAGGTGGTAGCACATGCCTTTAATCCCAGCACTCAGGAAGCAGAGGCAGGCCAATCTCTGTGAGATCAAGGCCAGCCTGGTCTACATAGGGAGTTTCAGGCCAGTTGGTGCTACAGGGAGACCCTGTCAAGAAAAAAAGGAAGGAAGGAAGAAAGAAAAGGGCCAGGGATTTAACTCATGGTAGAACACTTGTCTAGCATGTGGTGCAAGGCACTAGTTTCCTAGTAGCACATGCACAGAAAACAAAAACAACAAAAACCCATACTAAATCAAAAGATAGATGAGTTAAAATAGCAAAGGAAACAAAATTAGTATTTAACAAGCCCATGAAAACATTTCTCTAAAAACTGACTGTTTAATTTTTCTGTAATGATGAAGAAGGTATTGTCACCTGAACCTGGGAGTGGTGGCTTGCAACTGTAAAGCATGCACTCGGAAGGTTGAGGCAGGAGAATCACAAGTTCTAGGCCAGCATGGGCTAAAAGTGAGACCCTAAAACAAAATTGCAAAATTAGACCAGATTTCCTTTATAATTTTTTCCAATATCATTTTGTAAAAAATAATGAATACTAACAAGGAATCATTATTTTTCTTCCTTCCTAGGTCTTTTCCAGAGGATTATGTACCCCTAATCTCCCTTCTTTCTCTGTGCATGTGCATGTGTGTTTGCATACCTGTGTTAAGTTTGAATCTGAGTTTTGAAGCAGTGTTTCTTCACTATGTTGCCTAGGCTGGCTTTGAACGTTCTATATAGGTTAGATTGGCCTGCAACTCTTGATCCTCCTGCATCTGCCTCCTGAATGCTAGACTTATAGGCAAGCACTGCCATGCTGGGCTTTTTGGTTTGTTTTGAGACAGGGTCTTGCTATGTTGTCAAGGCTGGTCTGGTACTTTAGGGCTCAAGCAATTCTCCCACTTCAGCCTACACAGATTATAGGCTCCATGTATCATTTTGCTGTGCCACTGAGGTATAACCCCCAGCTCATCCATGTATCATTTTATCTGCCATATTATTTGCTCTGAGAAACACAAGAGCAAGACCAAGCCTCTAGAACAGAATAGTGAGAAGAAAAGAACAACATGAGGCTCCCAGATGATGAGAATCCCAGATGAAAAGGTTTACCAACAAGGAAAGATGGTCTTGATGCTGTATTAAAGAAGCAGTTTAGGGCTGGGAGTATAGATCAATGATAGAGTGCTTGTTTAGCATATGTAAGACCCTAATTTCAATTCTCAGCAACAGAAGAAAAATAGAATTCCTGGGGCTGGGTTGATCGTTCACTCTCTAAGTGCTTGTGGCTGTGGAAGCATGAAAACCTGAGGTGGATCCCCAGATATCTCTTTAAAAAACAAACAAACAAAAAAACAAGGGTTACAGGCTAGCCTGAATGGGTATACTGTTATAAAGTGTACTAATTGTTCATCCTTCTTTCATCAGCACTTAGGTTTTTAAGTATTAGCTACATACTTAAAAAGCTGCCAAAGTTAGGGCCAGGTGTGGTGGCGCATGCATTTAATCCCAGCACTTCTGAGGCAGAGGCAGGCATATCTCTGTTAGTTCAAGGCCGGCCTGGTCTACATAGGGAGTTCCAGGCCAGCTGGGACTACAGGGAGACCCTCTCTAAAAGGCCCCCCCCCAAAAAAAAAGTTGCCAAAGTAAACTCTAGGAGGCAGATGCTCACAATAAGATAGTTACTCAATAACAATTTGTTAATGTCTTTATTTCAGAAACAAGTACTTACCCTTCCTTTCCTTCAAACAAGCTTCAGGTATCTAGGATGTAAAACAAAAAAAAGGAAAAACGTTTCAATTTTTCTAGTCAACTGATCCCCCTCCATCTACACTCCTCCAACGTTTTCTGGGGCAAGGGCCTCCATTAAACCAACTTTTGGGAAAGAATCTGTTATGTTCATTCTTCCTAGGGGACATAGTAAGTAACAAGGCCTTAAGAAGGGGTACTTCGCAACAGTGCCAGCAACACAAGGATGGGCTCCAATGTGAACTTTGGGGGTAAGGCACCAAGTGGCCACCCTACAAAGTCTGTAGTAAACCACCTGACGGTTGACTAACCGCAGGATGCTTTGGCTTTCCAGTTCTCTCCCTGTCCCATGGACCGCTTTGTACTGCCCATTTCGCACCAAGTGTATCCAGAGGGACCTGCAGGGCAACTCTAATAGTCTGGCAGAGGGCCCTAGGACTGTGCTGGTAGGTGACAACGAGTCAAGCCCGCCCCAAGGACGGCCCAATAACTACAGTCCTGATCACGGAGGCCCCGTCCTAGCCTCAGCCCCTGTCCCACCGCGTTCCCGCGGGACCTCCTACACCCTAGGCTCCCAAGCTTCTCAGTCGGAGGACTCTCACCTAGGCTGATTTGCTGCGTGGTGGGTGTTACCGGGACGACGCTGCTCCAGGAAAACCACAACAGTCGAGGGAGAGCACTGCGCCGCTCAGACCTCCCGAAGAGACTGGCGGCGGAAACAGCCGGAAAGAGTCGAATACGATTGGTACTACTCGGCACGCCTCGGGGCCCCGCCCCAGAGCTACGGAGCCTGCTGCCTTCTTGAGGGAGTGAGGAGGCTACCGCTACCAAGGGCAAGCAGCTCCAAAATTTCCCTTTAATTCTAAGTATCTCAGGCAGGGTTTCGGCCAGCCCCTCCCGAAGCTCCACTGCGTTGCCTCACAGGAAAGGCGGGGCTCGAGCGCTTCCCTGAGTCGTTCCGAGTATCAGAGGCTGCTCCCGAGTGTGGCGCGGAGACACTTCAGGAGACAGCAGGAGGCCGATGCTTGCCGAATCTCGGGGGCTGTGTACACTTCAGCAGGCATCAGATCAACTTGCCGCTCGTGCAGCCTGAGAGAAGGCGCAGTGGCACAGTCCCGGCCTGTGAGCGAAGGGGAAAACTGGAGGGGCGGGCCTCGCGCGTACGGGGCATGCTCATTTCCAAACGCCCCTGTATAAACACTAGGGTTGTTTAAAACACTGCCTCATCTCCCCGAAGAGAAAAAGCGACAGTGGCTATGGTGCATTAATTCTCCTAGACCTGTCCCCACCCGAATTCGCGCGCGATTCAAGACGCTGCACAGAGGCGGCGATTTAGTCTCACGTATCCGTCAACACTATCGCAGCCAATCACAGCCAGGACGCTGATCTTATTGGCTATCGTTTCGCCAATCCGAAGAGACGCACGACCCGCACGGACGCGAGGCCGCCGTCACAACACGCCTCCCGTCGTGGACCCGCCCCAGGGGACTGTGCGTGTGTGCGTGCGCACCCACTGCTGACCAATGGTAGCGCTGATGGTGGGGCGCGCCCGCAGGAAAACTCCGGCGTGCTCGTCTCCGCGAGCGGCGTCCGCACCGCCCCGCCCCGCCCCGCCGGGGACTTCGGGTCTACAGCGGCCGCCGTAGCCGGAACTGCAGAGCGGGACGGCCTGGGTCTAGGGAGGGCGAGCGGCCGCACTTACCCGCGCCCTCAGCCCTGTCAGCCGCGCGCCGGCCTGCGAACCGGACGTGGGAGGAGAAAGCTTCTGCGTGACCACATCTGACGCGTCACTACCAGCCCGGCGTCGCGGCCTCGCCGCAGCCGGAGCTGCCGGGCCCGGCAGTTTCTGCGGGCGCCCGCGGAGGCCCGGGGATCCGGGAGCCAGGTTGCCGCGAGGCGTGGATGAAAAAGGTGACGCCGGCAGCGGGGAGGAAGGGCTCAGCTCCGGCCTCGCGGAGGTGCTGCGGTCAGCTCGCGGCTCAGCAGGCTGTGCCGACCGTCCGGCGTGCAGCCAGCGTTCCGCTCCTCTGGGAGGTGGGAGCTTCTCCCACCTGAAATGGGACAAAGGATTTGAAACTGGCGTAGAGCCGGAGGTGCCCGCGCCTCCCACGGTCAGGAAATGACGGCTTCAGTGACGGACTCCTGTGGAGTCCGTTGCCTCTGCGGAACCGCGGGAACGCGTCTGCCGACGCGGCCTGGCGCGCGGTCGAGTAGGTCCGGTCGGACGGACGCGCTTTGCTTGGTGGCGTTGTCAGGGTTGGTGCTGGGGGTGGGCTTCATTTCCCGGTGCTGTGACAAGCCTCTGGGCACTTGGGATTTGGGTGAGGGGGACAGAAGTAGGTAGATTGGGAGAGGAAGAAAAGTCTGTGGCATGGCATCCTTTAGCATACGTATGTATGTCTAGTGTGGTTCTGTGGCAGTGTTTTCTCAAGCTAACATTTGAAAGATCAATTCCAGACAGGAAACGTGCACACCGTTTCTTGGCAGCACCATTTTGTGTTACTGGGAGTTTTACCCAGGTCCTGGTCTTTTGGGCTGGTCCTTCCCCTGGATGCTGTTTCCTTGTTAGCGTTGGTACCTTGCTCTGTCTGGTTTTCTTACTAAATAGGACTGTTCTCTTCAACTGTTGTGTCGAGCTCAGTGTCACGTCTGCTGAGGAATGTAGTGTTTCTCTTTCCTGCTTCATCACGTTCACAGCACTGGCCTTGCCTGAGCTTAAGATAGTTGGAATGTAACAGATCCTTAGTTTATTCCGAGTGGACGTGTCTGGGCTGTAAACAGTTGTAGTCGTTATATTTTGTTTATCGATATCTCACGTGGCATTGGGTAAGCAGTTAATGCAAGAATTTTGTTTGCAAGATTTGTTTACATAGTTCTTTTCCGAATCTTGCTATGGAACAGGAACATAAATAAGAGTGTTTGCTGTCACTTTCCCGGGTGTCCCTAACCTGTTTCATGCAACAGACTCTTTGTTGCACGAGCTGTGTAGACGGTTCATCCGGTATCTCTCACCCAGGAAGGTTCCCGGAGTGCGGAGCTTGACTCTCTTGCATGCCAGCTTCGGAGGGAGCAGCGGCCTCGACCGGTGGAGCTCCCGGGGCTCCACGGCCAGAGGGGGCAGGTGCGCGGCCTGGTTGCGCGCGTCTTGGGCCAGAGGAGGAGAGGCCCGGAGCGGCGGGCGGTGCGGGGAGCGAGGCGGCGCTGGCTGGGCCATGAGCTGCATCCTGGTGGGGTGGGTGGCGGGACAGTCGGACCCGTGGGGCTGAGGCCGGGCCGGGCCGCTGCGCCTCCCAAGGCTCCGGGCCGGGTTCGCGGGTCTGGACTGGGGGCATCCCAGGGCAGCGCGTCGCGGGCAGGCGGGGCGGGGTCCGGGTCCAGTTGGGCCCAGCGCGGTGCGGGCCCGCGGGCGGGCGACGGGCGGCGCTGGAACAAACAACGGCCGCCATGTTGGGAGGCCGGCGGTAAACTTCTGCCCGCCACCTGCCTCATCGCGCCGCGCTTCTCCTGCCGCAGGATGACAGTGAAGTTGGGCGACGCCGGCAGCGGGGAGGAAGGGCTCAAGAAGCTGGGCAAGCGGACGGCTGATGAGGAGTCCCTGGACGGAGAGGGGCCCGGCGGTGCGGACGCGGCCGAGGACAGCAACAGCACAAAGAGGGACGGGCCGACCCCGCGGGCCGCAGGCGTTCGCGCACCTCCCGGAGGGCCGCCAGCGCAGTCTCTGCCGCAGGGCAGCCCCCAGGACCAGCACCACTTTCTCAGGTCTAGCGTGCGGCCGCAGAGCAAGAGGCCTAGGAAGGAAGCACCCTGCGCGGTGGGCAGCGGCGGTGCCAGCGGTTCTGGGCAGCGGGGAAAAGGTAGGCGACCCTATCCTGCGGCGGCTGGCGGGATCCCTTTGCGTGGCACTTTGCTGGGGCACGTGTCTTCTTTCTCTCCAGAGGCTGTTTGCTTTTCTATTTACACCAGGTAAGGGGGGGCAGTGAGTGTCCTTTCTCTGGGCGAGGGAAATAAATTGCCAAAGGATCCCTGATGGCTTTGCACGAATGGCCATTTTAAACTGTGGACAATAGCTCAGGAATGGGCAGCCAAAGTACCTGTTCTTGTTCTCTCTCTCTCTCTCTCTCTCTCTCTCTCTCTCTCTCTCTTCACCTCAGGTTGTGGGAATGCGACAAAGGAACTTGAAACTTATGGGGGTAAAACTGATGACAAATCCAAAATGAATGATCAGTGATGGCAGAAACTAGCTTTGGCTCATTGTCCTCTACTAAAGTGTTTTTGGCTTGAAAGTATGAAGGACACAGAAATGGAACCCTTTGAGTTTCAACTGAGGTATACTTCCTGCTACAGAAAGGATCTCCTCTTGGGTGGTAGGTGATGAAAGCAATAGTGACCTGCTGTCAGGGATCAACACAATGATGCTGTTTCAAATATAACTGCTTTCCTGAGGCCTCTACCAAAGCAACAAAAAAGTAAATGTCGTTTTGGTTCACATGCCCATATTTCCTTGTTGTCTTCTTTTGTCTATTTGTATTTGAGCATTGTGCTTTTTTATTAACTATGCAGGAAATTTTCTTTAATAGTCTTGTGTTTTTGGACCAAGTTTATGGCACTTTGTTTTTTAAGACAAGGCCTCACTGTGTAGTCCTGGCTGGTCTTGAACGCACAGAGATCGACTTGTCCCTGTCTTCCAAGCACTGGGATTAAATGCCACCTTTATCTGGCTATGTATCCCAGGCTGGCTTGGCATTCATAATGTAGTCTTAGGCTGGCATTGAGCTCAGAGCATTCCTCCTGTCTCATCCTCCTGAGTGCTAAGATTACAAGCTTGAGCCACTGTGTTTGTAACTTTTTTTTGAGACATGGTCTCCCTGTAGCCCCAGCTGGCCTGGAACTTGCTATGTAGACCATGCTGGTCTCAATCTCACAGAGATTCCCCTGCCTCTGCCTCTGGAGTGCTGGGACTAAAGGGATATGCCACCATACTGGACAAAGCATCAAATGGAACATCAGTTTCCACTTAGTTCTGCACTTATAGCGTTTTAACTATTTTAATTTATTTTTCATTTCATGTCTTTGGGCCTGGTAGTTTTAAGAAGAAATATTCAGAGCGGGGTGTGGAGTCCTAGCACTTCATAGGCAGGGGCAGGCTAATCTCTGTGAGTTCAAGGTCAGCCTGTGAGACAGAAAAAAGAAAATATTCCAGGCATGGAGAGATGGCTCAGTGGTCAGGAGCACTGATTGCTTACCCGGGTTTGATTCCCAGCACCCACATGGTAGCTGACAACCATCTGTGACTCCATTTCCAAGGGACCACTGACCTCAGCAGAAATTGCACTAAATGGGTACACGTACATGCAGGCAATCCACTCATACACATAAAATAAAACTAATTAACAAAATATTTATAAAAGAGAAAATATTCCTGGAGCTAACAGACAACCCACTTTGAAGATCTGTCCCAAATCTGTCCCATTAAACTCACTTTGCCTCATTCTCAACTACAGGCCTGGCCTCTAGATTCTTGGCCTTACCAATTGAGTCAGAATTTTGATGTAAGTAAACTCCTTTAAAGATCTAAATGTGAGGTAACTTTTTATGTCTCAAGCAATTAAAGGTTGCCTCATAGTTTATTTTGGTTTGAGAATTGCTGATTTGTTAGGAAAACATGAGTTTATAAAACTACTTGGTTTTTTTTTTTTAAATGGTGTTTTTGAGACAGGGTCTCCTGTAACCCTAGTTGGCCTGGAACTCTATGTAGACCAGGCTGGCCTTGAACTCAGATCAGAGAGCTCCTGTTGCCTCTGCCTCCCAAGTGCTGGATTTAAAGGTGTGCACTACCACACCCGGCAAAACTACTTGTTTTGTAAAATAGCTTTTCACTGGAAGATACAGGTGTGCTTAAGCTCCTTGGGTATTTGCTAAGCTTGTTTAAGTACTTTTTGGGTGCTTTTTGTTTGTTGGTGGTTTCAGATGTCCTGGACACAAATTCCTCTAGATGTTGCTTTGACCTTCTCACTGTGCTCTATTTATTCAAATTTGTCTTTCCATCAGAACTGTCACCTCTTGTCAAAGATGGAACAGTAATGACTGCTGGGGCCTCTTGAAGCTTGGTTGCTTAGAAGAGATGTGTTGTTGTAAGGGCACTAATTTGTACATGGTTTCCTGTACATAGATGAAGGGGTGCTAAAACTGGTGTCCAGAGTATTGGAAGTGAAGTGATGACAGGAGGTTTGTTTTTGTTTACCTGGTAAAGAGGTTTTCTAGTTAACCTCTCCCTTAGATACTGGTGTTTCTGGTCCTGATTCTTGTCCTATTGTGTGACTTAGAATAGTGTTTGACTTTTCATTCTGCTTTAATATTAGTAAAATGTGGCTTTGTTAAAATTTGTGTTCCTTGTGGTCTCCATTTTCACATTTTAGCAAGCAAATACTTCTAAAGTAAATAATAAAGCTAAGTTGTACCAGTGCTTCTGGGAGGGGAGTGGGAGCATTTTTGCTTTGCATGTGTGGCCTCTTGATGGCTGCTATTCCTGCATGGCCTGCAATGACCCTTTGAATGCATTTCACCATTCCCTGGACATCCTCAGTAGGACTTTGGAGAGACCTCTGCTCAGTTGCTGTTTCCATTGCCAGGAGAGGTGAGGTGTAAACACATGACTACTGCATACCCACGTTGCTTGGCTAGTCTTTGGAAGTGGTTCTCTGGAGGAACATTTCTCTTACACACTGAAAATCTCCATCTTGATTGGCTAGCATGGGTCAATAGGAAATTAGAAATACCTGCATTTTTTCAGTTTCTCACTTTGGGGGGGGGAAAATAACTTGCATGTAAATTGTGCCTTCTTTCTTTGAGGCTGTAAGAGTAGACCCTTTATATATATATATAAATGTTAAATATATATATATATATTATTTTTTTTATGTGTATGAGTGTATTGCCTGCATGTATATGTGTGCACTTGTGTCGTGCAATGCCGGGGAGGTCAGATGAGGGCTTCAGATTCCCCCAGAACTGGAGTTAAGGATGGTTCGTAGCCACCATGTGGGTGCTGGGAATTGAACCCGGGTCCTCTGCAAGAGCAAGTCAGTGCTCTTAACCGCTGAGCCATCTCTCCAGCCCCATAAATGTTAAGTATAAATAAATGTTAAACTATTTTAATGTATGAATAGTTTTCAGTAGACAAATGTGATCTAGATTTCTGAGAATGATGATGCTCTCATGTATTACTTCTGCCACTCTCTGCTGTGGTGAAAGGTCAAAAGTTGCTGGTTCTTAAACTAGACCATCTGCAGATGCAACCATCGTCTTTGCTAAATCCAGTACATCTGCTCCAACGTACTGACACTTCATGGCAGTAGTGATATCTATGTTGATTCTCAACTTGCTAGAAAAGTCATTGTCTACTTATGTATCTTTTCCTTTGGTCTTTTTGAGACCTCCCTGTAACCCCAGCTAGCTTAGAGCTCACTCTGTAAACCAGACTGGCCTCGATCTCATAGAGATTATCCTGTGTCTTCTTCCTGAGTGCTGGGATTAAAGGTGTGTGCCACCATGCCCTGCTTTCATTCATGTATCTTGATACACTGAGAATTCCATTATTGTTAATAAAGCCTTAGTGGTAAATGCTATAAAGGAAACTCTATCCCCACTGGCTGGTGTCTCTGCAGTTTTCAGGAACCTTGAAAAGGGCATTCAACTCTTTCACTAAACTCAAGGGTTTTTTCCAATTCAGTCGTCTCACTTTTAGAAAAGTCTTCCTTTATGTAGTCATGTGTGTTCTATGGTCACTTCTGATTGCCATCTTTTATAGACGCCTGGGTCACCCAGCTCTGTGTATGAAAGAGTAGACTCTTGTTGATGTCGGTGAAAAATTTTTTCTAGTATGATTCCACCATTTTTTTTGTTTTTTTTGGCCTTTTTTGAGACAGGATCTCCCAGTAGCCCTAGCTGACCTGGAACTCACTATGTAGACCAGATTGGCCTTGAACTCACAGAGATCCGCCTGCCTCTGCCTCCTGAGTGCTAGGATTAAAGGCAAGCCCCGCCACGCCTTGGCATTCCGCCTGTTTTTTTTTTAATTTTATTTATTATTTTTATTATTTTATGTGCATGTATGTGAGTGCACCAGTGTTGTGCAATGCTGTGGGTGTCAGAAGAGGGCTTCAGATTCCCCTGGAACTGGAGTTGAGGACGGTTCGTAGCCACCATGTGGGTGCTGGGAATCGAACCTGGGTCCTCTGCAAGAGCAGTCAGTGCTCTTAACCGCTAAGGCATCTCTCCAGCCCCGATTCCACATTTTTTTAAATGATAAAGGGAGAGACTACTTATTGCCCATGTGCCAGGCATTTTTCATCTCTGTAACTTTGCTTTTGAATGGATGCTGAAACTGTAGTTGTTTCTATCCTGAGCTTAGATCAAAAATACCAAATCTGCTTAATCTCTCAGCTCTGGCACACTACCAGAGAGACTTGAGGACCCTTTTATGACTGAAGTTCTGAGACTGCCTTTTAGAATGTAGGCTAACACCTGCAGTCCTCTGACGCTTTTCCCTTTTTGGCCAGTTCATGGTCCAACTGACCACTGAGTAAATGAGTTTATCTCTTAGAGCCTCAGTTTCCTGTTTATAAAAGAGTATAAGGTGTTTTTTAAAAGATGCTTTCTATACATTTCACCCGCTACAGTCAGCCTTCCATACTGGAAAGGAATTTGAACTAGTAATCAAGGGACTAGCTGCCACTTGAGAGCTGCATGTGTGGCAGGGAGTGAAGTTGTTCACCATGCTTGAACTGTAGGTTCTTTTTTAAATGAGTCAGATAAGCTCATGGCTGAGACTTGCACTTACCTTTACTGTTCAGGG